TGGTGACGTGGCTCTGTCCAGTCAGCAGCATGCAATACTCGAACTTTTGCTTTCCGAGTTTCTTGGTCAAGTAGTCAGCTGCCATCTCGGATGTGGGGCAGTATGACAGCTCGAGTCTCCCCTTCTCGATCTCGTCCTTCACGAAGAAGTAACGTAGGGCAATATGTTTCGTCCTGTTCGCGAAGCCGTTCTTGTTGGCGATGCGAATTGCTGACTGGTTGTCGCAGAACACGTTAAAGTTGGGTAACTCGGCTAACTTCGCTTCTTCCAGTAGCTCGCGAAGATAGAGTCCTTCTTTGGTGGCTGAGCAGAGTGCGATATATTCTGCTTCAGCTGAAGATAGCGCGATTAACTCCTGCTTGCTTGACTGCCAGGAGATAGGACCGATAGGCTCGAGGCGGTAGACGTAGCCGGTGCGTGAGCGTCTGTTGTCAGTGTCGCCGGCGTGATCGGCATCGACGTAGCCGATTAGCTTGGTTGGTGTAGCTGCGTTCTTGTGATAAGTTAAGCCGATCATTGCGGTGCTGATAAAGTAGTGCAGAGCGCGGTCAAGTTCCGCCAGGTGTTCTGCTTCAGGCTTCTTGAGATAAGTGGCGAGCTGGCTTGCGGAGTAGGATAGGTCGGGTCGGCAAGTGACGGCTGCGAAGAGAAGGCAACCTAGCTTCCTCTGATAGTTGCGTATGCCGGCGGATTTAAGTGGGGTAGATTCCTTATCGGCTCCTGTCGTGTAGCGGTATGGTGTTGAAATCGCGGCTGGCGTAATTCCGAATCGTTTGGCGATGGCGTCGGCGTACTTTTCGGCGCTGAGGTAGATCGCGTCGTTATCTTCTCGAATGTTAAGTCCGAGATACTGTGTGACGGTAGATGAGACAGTGAGGGTGAGGTCCCTCTGCAGCTCCCCTTCGAACCAGGTGGTGATGCTGTCGGTAGAGCCGATGTAGAGAAGATCGTCCACGTAGACAATTAGCAAGATGTAGTCGCTGTTCTTCGTGAGGCGGTACATGCCCTGATCGTGCGGGAGTTGTTTGAAGCCGATGCGGATGAGACGAGTATGCAGGTACTGCTGCCACAGTCGCGGTGCCTGCTTGATCCCGTAAAGCGATTTTAGTAGCTGGCAGACGTGCGTGGAATTTGTGTTGGAGCCGTGCGGTAGTTCCACGAAAATCTCTGCATCGACCGGTGCGTAGAGAAAAGCGTTTGCGACGTCGATTTGGCGCAGTTTCTTTTTCTTCATAGCGGCGATGGCGAGAAGAATTCGAAGTGAAGTGTGGCGGCTGACCGGAGCGAAGGTTTCGGTGAAGTCTCGTCCATGTTCCTGGTCAAAGCCGCGAACGACCCATCGTGCTTTAAACTTGTCGATGGTGCCGTCGGCCTTCGTCTTCACACGGAAGACCCATTTCCCGGTAAGAATGGTCTTGTTTCGCGCTACACCGATGGGAACGACTTTCCAGGTGTTGCGTTCCTCTAATGCCTTCAGCTCCTTGTCCATGGCTTCGCGCCATTTTTCCTTATGCTCCCCCCCCAGAGCCTGCTGAACTGTCGCAGGCTCCTTAGGAATGTTGACGCCGTGGACCGCGGTGACGAGACCAAGGATTTGGAGTCCGCTCTGTGTGTAGCGGGGGAGTGTGGTGTCCTCGGGATAGACTGCTTCGTCTCCAGTTTCTGGATCGGGTGCGAAGTTGGGCCCTATGCGTTCTGCTTCGTTGGTGTTGACTTCAGCAGTAAGTTTCGGCGTTGACGCTTTCGCGAGGGTTTTCTTCGTCCATCGGTACGTCCACTGAGCAGTAGGGAAGAGGTCCGGCTTCTTCCGAGGCTCCTTCCACATTCTGCTCGTCCCAGTCAGCTTCGTCTTCTGTCGAAGCGAAGGCTCGATCGCCACGGAAGCCGCCTGTGGGGTCTCGATTTTCGTTCGTAGAAAATCACGTCACGTGCTGCTACTGTTTCTTTGCTGTTGATATCGAAGATCTTCCATGCGTTGTAATGTTTTTCGATGCCCAGGTGTAGTCCCCACTGTGCGCGTTGGGAGAATCGGCCGGCTCGTGCAGATGGGGGTCGGTACTGTACCATGCAGCCGAAGACTCGTAACATTTTTGTGCTGCCCAGTTTTCCTGTCCACAGCAGATGCGGTGATGTGTTGTTCGGGAGTGACGACGAAGAAAGCAAGTTGTGCAGCATCACGGCGTGGTCCATTGCTTCGGGCCACTGGTGGTTGGGTAGTCGCATGCCACGTAACAGTTTGCGCATGGTGTTCTGCAGAGTCCTGTTCATCCTTTCTGCTACACCCTGCTGTTGATGGGCGTAGGGAAGGGAGATGAGTCTCTTGATTCCCTTCTCCGCCAGGTACTGCTTGAATCGCTGTGACGAGTATTCTCCTCCTCCGTCTGATTGGAAGCTTTTGAGTTTAGCTCCCGATTCCCGTTCTGCTGCTGGAAGCCATGCCACGAAAGCCTCGAAAGCCATGTCGCGACTTGGTAAGTTTAGGTGCCAGACGTAGCGTGTAGCGGCGTCGATGAAGGTGATGGTGTAGTTATACGCGTTTTGTCCGGGTTCGCGGTTGTACAAGATGTCGCTGTATACTTTCTCGAGTGGTGCATATGCAGGTGCGCTTGGGTTGTGATGCGAAACGAAGGGCTGATGCGGTAAGTCAGCTTCGGGGCAGGTGAAGCATGTTCCTCGAGCTCGCTGAAGTTCTCTGCCGTCTGTTAAAAGCAGAGAGTCCTTGTCGAGTACTCCTGCTCGAATTGTGTTGTTTAACACAGTGTTGCTTGGGTGTCCCATTCTTGCGTGCCAGATTTCTTCGTTGGCGCGATGACCGGGTGAGCGCTGATACATGTCGGAGTTGGAGTAGAGACCGGTGGTGAAGTTGGGACTGTGATGAAATTCTCGTGGTGCTGGCTGAAGCTGTTGTGCAGGTGTTGGTGGTGCATCGTCGTTGAAGAGCGCCGTCGTTGAAGGACCAGCGACTGGTGTCGTCGTTGTCGCTGTTGCTGTTGTTGTCTCTGCTGCTGCCGACGTTGTCTCTGCTGCTGCCGATTGTTGAATCGCTGCTAATGCTCTTGTTCTCTCTGTTTCAGGAATGGTATGTGAATACCAGAAGCCGCCTGGACTGAAGTCGGGGTCAAGATCCGGAGGGTGTGTCCAGTTGGTAAAGTTGACTATGGCGTCACTGTCAGCGGTGCCGAGATCAGGAACGAAGTCCAAGACGAAGACGTTGTGGCGAAGGTAGGTTGCTGCTGTTGATTTCCGCGCGCGTATGACGACCCATCAAGGCTCATGGGTGTCACTCCGTTGTTGCTGTTGTGTGTCTGTGCAGGTCCCGACTGCTGGTGCTGCTCGTAGAAGGACATGAAGGAGAAAAACTTCTCCATCATGCTCTGGTCAAAGCCCGTGGGGCGATTTGTGAGAGTCTCGGTGGACGTTCCCCTAGGTCTTGTTGCTGTGCCTTCCTCTGTTCGCAGGCCAGAGGCAGGAGGTGGTGTAGGAGTAGTCCCCGGGGAGCCATTAGAAGAGCTCCTCTCCTTGTTTGTTGCCATGTCTTGTAATGTCTTTGAATTGAAGAGGTAGAATTTCCCCTGACCGCTCTCATACCATGTTGGGCTGAGATAGCCCCTTAGGATCTTTTCAGGGGAGAACTCTGGGTAGGACAATTGTAATAGCGGAAGCTTTTAGTGAAGTAATTGTGAACCACCTTGCGCTAGTATGTGAGGGCAAAGTAGATTAATTATAACAGGAAAGTACAAGAATATATAGTGGTGTAAGGAATATCAAAGGATACGGTTATAACTACTTTTACTGTTGCTGTTGCGGTTCGATACAGTACGACTCGGGCAACTGCTCTGTAACGAGTCAGTTGTATGTCCTTAACTGTCGCGCTGTACTTGTCGGGTCAAAGGTCAGCGACCTTTGACCTTCGCGTAACCTCCAGCAACCTCTTCAACCCCCGAGGGTTGACTCGCGGGTGCTTCGGTGTAGTTTGCCTCGCTTCTGATGCGGTGTTTTCGACACGACTGAAGCGCTTAGGTCTTATTGTTTCCAACATTATGTACGGAAAAACTTGCCGTTTTCGCCTAAATTTTGCACAGAGACGTGACCGCACCAGCGAGGCTGCTAAGCCTGTTGCGGGACTCCCGCCTCTGTGACTGCATGAATCCTCGTCGAGCGACGGGGGGTGTGTTTTCGACCAATCAGGGCATGACAGAGGGCCTGTTGGAGCTTGCAATGTGGCAGCTTCCACTCGAGGCTAAGGGCGTGTGCACTAGGAGCTCGAACTTCTGTCTAAGTTCGAACTTTTAGCGAGGTTCTACTCGGTGCAAAGCGGTGAATGTTCGAACTTTGACAAATTTCGCCTTAAGTGCACACGCCCTAACGTTATCGCCTCATCCTCGGTTTTGCGCACCCAACCAACAATCTACCACCGCAGCAAGCATGTACATTTTGTTCCCAACCGTTTCTGCTTTAAAAAAAATGTACATTATAAAAAGACCCGGGTGTTATGTAGCCTTTTCCCATGACAAGACCCCCCCCATTTTTTTGATGTAGTTATCATAGCACCCTAGGGTGGTATGTCCATGTGATTACGGTATGTGAAGCGTACAGATGGGATGCTGTGAAAACATGCATTCATAAGAACAGGAAGTCAAATTACGGTATGAGGCTATGTTTAGGGTGTTACAGTGAGCACAAGGATGTCAAGATTTGAATCAAGCAAATGCGGCTAGTACCAAGTACCAACCAGACACAACCTATCACGGGCCTAAGCAGTTGCCCTGGGCACCACTGTGGCTACCAGCTCTTCAGTGTGTGTGGTGGTGGCCAAGGGAGCAGCAGCGCCCCCTGTGGCTCCCCCAGCGGAATCCACTTCAATGCGGTTCTCCCACACGAAGCACAAAAGCATGGTGGCAACAATGGGCACGAAAACTGTCCAGAGTCCAGACCTTTTCAGATGACTTTTGAGTCGACTCAAAAGTCTGTCCAGAGTCCAGACCTTTTCAGATACCTGATTAGATATTTGACCTAGGCACCACAGTTGCTACCAGCTCCTCAGACTGTCCAGTCGCCAAGGGAGCAGCAGCAGCGCCCCCAGCGGAATCCACTTCAATGCGGTTGTCCCATGCGAAGCACACAAACATAGTGGCGACGACGGGCACGAACACGAGCTTGAAGGAGAAAACTGTGATGCCGACGGCGAGAGCGACAGGGAGGAACACGAAGAGGGCTTGTATGGCGTCGGTCTTGAGAAGATGGCCGAATAGAGGCAGCATGAGGATGGACTGAATGGGAAGAGGGGGAGCGGGTGGAGGGAGAGAGGGGCGGGAATAGAGAGGAGGAGGGTGTGGGGGGGGGAAGAGAGGGGGACGGGGGAGAGGGGGGGAATAAGGGGGGATCGGCAATTGGTGAGATGAGACGGGGTGGACGACGGGCACGAAAACGAGCTTGAAGGAGAAGACCGTGATGCCGACATTGAGAGCGACGGGGAGGAACACGAAGAGGGCTTGTATGGTGTCGGTCTTGAGAAGATGGCCGAATAGAGGCAGCATGAGGATCGACTGAATGGGAAGAGGGAGATGGGTTGGGGGAGAGGGGTGGGAATAGAAAAATGGAAGGAGGGGTGGAAGGGAAAGAAGGGGGTAGTAAAGGGAGAGAAGAGTGGAGATTGGTTTTTGAGAATTCTCAAAAACCAAAACAGGGGTAAAGGGGGAGAAGAGGGGTGGAAGGGAAAGAAGGGGGTAAAGGGGGAGAAGAGTGGAGATTGGCGATTGGAAAGCAGGGGAGATGAGAATCAATTTCAAGAATTCTCAAGGGTGGACGACGGGCACGAAGACGAGCTTGGAGGAGAAAACTGTGATGCCGACGGCGAGAGCGGCGGGGAGGAACACGAAGAGGGCCTGAATGGTGTCGGTCTTGAGAAGATGGCCGAATAGAGGCAGCATGAGGATGGACTGTTGATAGGGGGAAAAAATGGCCAGGGCAAGGGAGGAGAGGGGGGAAGGGAGCATAGGGCCCAAAGACTGTGATGTTGACGGCGAGAGCGACCGGGAGGAAGACGAAGAGGGCCTGGATGGTGTTGGTCTTGAGAAGATAACCGAATAGTGGCAGCATAAGGATCGACTGTATGGGGAGGAAGGGTGTGGGGAGAGGAGTGGAGATGAGGGGAGCAGGGGACAAAAGGGGGGATTAGTGTGCATAAAGAGGGGAGGAGGACGAAGAGCGCTTGGATGGTGTGGGTGTTGAGGAGATGGCCGAACAGAGGCAGCATGAGGATGGACTGGAGGGGGGATGGGGTGGGGGGAAGATAGAGGGGAGGATGGACTGGAGGGGGGATGGGGTGGGGGGAAGATAGCAGGGAGGAAGAGCAGAAAGTGGGGGTGAGGGAAGTGGGGAGGGAGTGGAGGAGACAAATGAGGATTGTACAAATGAGGTTGTCATGTGGTAATGTGGGTCGGAACAGCCAATAACGAGGACAGTGAGTCAATAAGGCAGGCGGGCGGGCTAGTAAGTAACTCGGGTGGGAATAGCTTATAATGATGACAGCCAGACAGGCAGGGAGGCAGGCGGGCGGGCGGGCAGGCAGGCGGGCGGGCAGGCAGGGAGGCAGGCGGCCGGGCGGGCAGGCAAGCAGGTATGGCTGACAAGGAAGAGGAGGAGAATAAGGGTAACGCCAGTAAAGATGACTCTGAGGATGCACTTGGTGGCGTGGGAGTAGCTTATAAGGGTGGCACTTCTTACACCGGAGGAAGAGGAGGAGGAGGAGGAGGGTGACGACGGTTGAAATAACTCCGAGGATGCACTTGGCGGTGAGGCTGACAGCTAGTAAGCAACTCAGGTGGGAACAGCTTATAGCGAGTGACAATTCTTACAAGGAAGAGGAGGAGAAGAAGGATGACGACGGTGGAGATGACTCCGAGGATGCACTTGGCGGTGAGGTTGACAGCTAGCGCGGACTTGAGGTGGTTGCGCAGCAGAGAAGTGGAGAGCGCGAGCGAACGGCGTGAGCCGTGGCCTGATATGGCAGCTACCACCACCACGAACCTGGGGGAGAGGGTTGTGGGATGGGGGGTGTGGGGATTAGGGAGGGCGGACTTGAAGTGTTTGCGCAGCAGAAAGGCGGAGAGAGCGAGCGAGCAGCGTGAGCCGTGGCCTGGTATGGCTGCTACCACCACCACGAACCTGGCGGGGAGGAGAAGGGATTGGGGAGGGTGGGGGTAGATGCACGTGTGATGATGGAAGGAAGGAGCAGGAGCAGGGGAGGAGGGGGAGGTGGGTTGGGGAAGGGGGGAGTGGCAGACACGTGGGATGATGACATGGAAAGTAGGGAGCTAGCCGTGAGGAAGGATAGCTCTGCGTGTAGAGAAAACACCGTGTGACATTGTAACGAGCTGACTTTTGAGTCGACTCAAAAGTCAGCTCGTGGGATGATGACGTGGACAGTGGGGAGCTAGCTGTGAGGAAGGAGTCCGTAAGGAGACCAGCAGATAGCGCAGCAAGCTTTGAGAACGCACAGAGAGTGGCAGGAGAGGAGGAGAGAAGCACATGGGAGGAATGAAGGCATCAGGGTTATGAGGGCACATGGGACAATCTGAAACGCAGTTTCACGCAGCTGGACTCACCAGGTGAAGAAGTAGGTGAAGATGAAGAGAGCGAATGCGATCGCGACACGTGGCACCACGACAATCGCCGACATCCCAAACAGCCAGATCACGAGCACATTGAGCAGCACAGATACCACAGTTGCTAGCGTCAGGATAAAGCTGACAAGGCAGATAGTTCCCATGGAAGAGGAGTAGGCAAGCTTGACTGCCCGAGCCACTACGTTCCATCGATCCACCAGGGCGTCTCGATCGAACCACCCTCCCGCTTCGTCTTGCAAGCTCCCCTCCTGCTGCTGCTGCTGCTGCTGGTGTTGGTGGTGTTTTCTGATTGGTTGGAGTCTCGGTTACTGTAGACCTGCGCTACTGTAGCTGCGGCGATGAATTGGAGGGTTACGCCGATTTGATATGCCATCCAGATGCCTATAAAGAGGAAGATAACAGCGAGAGGGGACAGCCAGTGCTGAATCGCTATAGTGTCACTCCATAAGACACATCTCTCCTCCTGCGAATGAAACGGCGAATCAGGCGATCCGAACAGCGGGTCGTGCTGGATCAAGAAATTGCAGGAGAAAACAAGCTCAACGAGGCTGGCTATAACGGGTACAAACAGGACGATGCAGAGGAAGGAAAAGAGTGCCACCCCAACTATGAGGCCCCGGGCTCGGGTCATCACAGCCTGAGACGCTCGACCAATCACAGTGGAGGAAAGAGGGTGGTAATCCCTGCAGACCAATAGCACTGCGAGAACGGCCAAACCGTTAAGTAAGTCTGTTAAGAACATTTCAAGACTGAGAACGTAGTTTGCGTTGGGGTCAGCGCCTGGAGGGGGAGGGACGGCCGGGTTCGAATTTTCTGCTGGCGCTGGTTCCGTAGCTGCCTGGAGCTTTCGCCTGTTGAGATAAGCAGCGATGTGGTTTGCAGCCGTGGCAGTGATGACGTGGATGTGAGGACCGTCTGCTGACGTGTCACGCAGGAAACGTGACATGGAGAACGGAGCCGCGGACTCCAAAATGCTCGCCGCTGATTGGCCACCGATACCCCCATGCGCGGCTGCTGACGTGGATGTGGATAAGGGAACCCCGGAAATCGCGGAATGTGGGGGCGCGTCAGGCGCCGCAGGAGCCGCCGTGGATCCCGGCGGGGGAGGCGGCGTGTGAAGCGCAATGAGGCTGTGAATAACGAAGAACGCTACAGTAACTCTGAGGCACCCCTTGACGAGCTTAACGGACATCTTTCTAACGCAGACAAGGAAAACGAACATCGTCGGGAAGATCGACACCAAGGCGATGGCAAGCGCGGAGAGCGCTTCCAGAGAGAAGAAACGCGACGCGAAGGAGTTAAGGGACAGTAACGGTCGGATGAACCAGGAGAACTCCCTCAGAACGAAAACCGCCGCGCAGATTATGAAAGCTCCGGCCCAGATAGGTTCGCGAATGGGACGCTCAGACGCGTTGAACACGGACGCGGAGGCGTCCAGATTCAGATGTCCGCTGGAGCCAAAACGACCGCTTTCCCCGCTTTCGCCGGTTTCCTCGGAGAATTTAGCCATGGCTGGCCTTCCTGCCTTAGCTCCTTTCAGTCCGCCGGTTTCTTCGTCGTTTTCGCCAAGTTCGTCGTCATCGTCGTCGTCCTCCCTGCGAGAGACGAGCGGCTTGGTCATAGAGTCTGAATCTGCTTCGGTGTCGGCGATGCTGATGTTACCAGTGCTGCTCAATTCGCCTGGAACTGGAGCTTTCGCCGGTTTAGTGCTGCTGCTCGAAGCAGCGACGTCGTCGGGTAGACCGGACATTTTTTAGCTGTGAAGATGCGGGGAATAGCGTGAGGAAACTAGCAGAACCAGCCGTCGAAAAGGGAATCTTGTGAAAACTAGGATGGAATCCCAAAGAAATGTCCTACTTTTCACTACGGCCTAACAATATAGTGTTCGTAAGGCGACTTCTGCTTAGAAAGGAAAAAAGACACTGCTTTTATATTCCAAAACCGGGTACATCATGCTTCATTCACTCAGAAACGCCACGACACAGCAGAAACTGGAAGTACCTAGCAGCCATGGGAATAATGTCTCGATATGAGAAAGCAAGTACAGTACTAGTGGAAATGTGAGGCATTCCCAAGGGCAAGATAGCAGTGCGCAGCGAACGGTCTAATCCGGTTGAGCACGTTTTTAAGTGGTTTATACTTTCAGAATCTTGAGATGAGTTGAATGGAACAGAAACCCAGGTGACACCGAGGCACCGGCTCGCTACATCCTACAGCAGTCGGTACTTAACTCAGACTTGCTTCGTTACACGTTTCAAAGCTGGGGAACTCTTCGTACAAAGATCGGTTTGAACTGTTCATAAAACCGTTGGACTTAGTGAAATTCACAAAGCTGCAGTAACACTTCAAAGATTGTGTGCCAGCCTTGCAGGCAGCCCAATTAATGAAGCTTAATCCACTTGTAAACTAGGTAACCATCGTTACCAATGACATGACATCACATGATCAATCAGGGCTTGACCCCCATGTGGCTGCTGGGTCATCCCCTCTTGTGAGGTACCCCTTTCTGTGTGCCTGAAAGTGCACTCCCAGGAATTGAACCGGCGACGTCTGCTTCTCGCCCTCTTTGGCCCAGTCATCAAAGTGAGTGTAGTGCATCGACGAGGGGCACTTCATGCCGTCCTGAGGCCGATACTTGAAGAACTGAGTGGGCGTCTGCAGAAAAGCGGGGGGATGAGCAGTGGGACGAAAGGGGAACATGGAATAGCAGGAATTGAGCCCACGACCTCTGCTTCCAGCCCTCCTTGGCCCAGTTGTCAAAGTGAGTGTAGTGCATCGAAGAGGGGCAATTCATGCCATCCTGAGGCCGGTACTTGAAGAACTGCATGGGCGTCTGCAGGGGAAAAGAACAGTGGGAAGAACGAACATATGCAGTCGCAGGAATTTAAACTGCGACCTCTGCTTTTCGCTTGGATCGGTGGTGAAAGTGAGTGCAGTTCACTTAGTTGGGAGGTTGGGAGTGTTGCGGGTGGGGGTTATGAGGAGGAGGACAGGGTTACCAGACTTTCTTATTCTGTTCTGACCTGGATTGAGAAGTTATTATCGAAGACGCACCACCCCTCGTCCCACCAGTCCGTCGCATTGCACCACCGCGGCATGGCAAACGAGTCGACCCGGAACTTGGGAGTGAACTTCCCTCTTATGCGCGCTGACCGCTCGGGAGTGACTCCACTCTCCTTGTCGAAGATGCACTGATTGGAGGGGCGGGGCGGGGGAGTGTGTGGGAGTTGAAACGAGGAAAAGGTGGGGAGGGGGGGAGGGCAGGGGGGTAGAGGAAACGGAAGTAAGGGCGTGTGTCTTTTGGTGTAGAGGCTCAAAAATAGGGTCGAGCTTTTGACGGTAACCCGCTTCGTCAATTTCGTTAGGGGCTCTTCGCGACAATATGGTGGCGTTGTAGAGGGACACTAAACCTGGGTCGAACTCGCGTACGAATTTGTAGGTTGCACGATAGGTCAATCGTGTGTCCTGGTGGGCATGCCTCTCGATAATGCGAATTATGCGACCGTCGCAAAGCACTTCGTGCTATTTGTAGCCCTCGTGTCATCGCATCGCCCGAATCATACGTGGCGCGCTGCCAAGGCGTGGGAACTGGGTAACCTACGAAAGTTGAACGCGACTCGAAAGTGAGTGTACAAAGTTGAACCTCGACACTCGACCTTCGGTGTGCCATGTGCTTATTGTGGGTTGGGCTTCGCGATTCGGGCCCAAATTTTGAGACACTCGAGTACACGTCAACCTCGGTTCAAACGTAAAAAATCGAGTTCAAAAAATGAACTTTGGCCTAGAATTCAAAAGACACGCGCCCTAAAGTGGAGAGAGGTTGATTGGTTTAGTCACAGGACGGAGAGAAACATGGGAAACAGGGAAATTTGAAACTACGGATGTAGGGGTTATGCATACCTGGAGAGTTAGGGCTTCAAGCACCGGCTTTAATCAATCATACCTAAAACGTCAGGGTTCTATCAATCACACCTCTGGCTGTAGATTCTGAGGGTTTTTCATCCAGCACACCCTGTAGAGTCATCAATAGTTACAATACTTAACTGTGGGATTTCATGCACACATGCTTTGCATGCTAATCAGTCATACCTGTGGGTGCAAGTTCTGCGGGTTCTGCATCCAGCACTGATGTAGTTAAGTATTAAGGGTGTAGCTCCAACCATATCTGTGGATGTTAGATTCATACCTGTGGGTGCAGGTTCTGAGGGTTCTTCATCCAGCACACCTGGTGCTTGTACCACCCCAGCACCACCATATCGTTATAAGCACGCATAGAGGTGGATGTCAGGACGATAGCAACCATACCTGTGGGTGTAGATTCAACCTCACCTGTGGGTGCAGGTTCTGAGGGTTCTTCATCCAGCACACCCTGTGCGTGTACCATCCCAACACCACCATGTCGTTATAAGCACGCTCTGCTACCAGGCGTGCGTCACCAGGCTGCCCATATAGAATTGCTTCCTGGAGTGAGAGGAGAGGAAGACATGGGGCAGGTAAGCAACAGGCAGAACCACCATGTCGTTATAAGCATGCTCTGCTACCAGGCGTGCGTCGCCAGGCTCCCCATATAGAGTTGCTTCCTGGAGTGGACAGCAGGGGTGTAGGGAAGTGGGTTAACTGTCACATTGCTGCTATAAGCACGCTCGCTACAAGCCGCGCAAGAAAAAAAAAAAAAAAAAAGACTTCTCGGAAGTGATTCTAGCACAGCACAGACAGGGTTGCATAGTGATCGAGAGGGGAAGAATACACGGAAACCACCTGAGAACACACCTGAACGAAGAGCTGGAAGAAGTCAAGGAAGTCTGAGAGGGCATCGTACGTCCAGAGGGACACATGCGCGCTAACTGCCGTGGAGGCATATTGACTGGGGCCTGGTGCCCGCAGACTGAAAAGGAGGGGAGCGAGGGAGAGAGAGGAGAGGCAAGCAAGTCAGAGAGGGCATTGTCCGTCCAGAGGGACACGTGGCCGCTCACTGTTTGGACGCATACTGGCTGGGGCCTGGTGCTCGGAGACTGGAGGGTAGCATGTGTGTGTGTGTGGAGGGAGGAAGGGAGGGTGGGAGGGACCAAGGGTAAAGGAAAGTCTGAGGAATTGGACGCATACTGGCTGGGGCCTGGCGCTCGGAGACTGGAGGGTAGAGGAAAGTCTGAGGAAGTGGACGCATACTGGCTGGGGCCGGGTGCATGGAGAATGGACGGGAGTGGGAGTGAAGGGGGTGATTGGGTGATGTCGGAGGGGCTGCTGCATTACCAAACATGGATTTTTTTAGAATTCTCAAAAAACCCCTGCAATGTCATGGAGAATGGACGTGAGTGGGAGAAAAGGGGGTGGTTGGGTGATGTTGGAGGGGCTGCATTACCATACATGGGCCGACCGACAAGATGCATTTGTAGACGACTTTTGAGACGTCTCAGAAGGGGGTGTTTGGGTGATGTTGGAGGGGCTGCATCATCATACATGGGCCGACAAGATGCATTCGTGAGAAGAGCTTGCGGCCAGACGCAGTGAGAAGCATTTGAATATCCCAGGAAAACGCAATTGACGAGCAAAGAGATACCCAGGTATTCGAATTGAGTTGTATAGAACCTATACCCATAAGCCCGATAGCTAAGCCCTCCTTGCATCCAGACCCCCATCCCACACGTACTCGAGGTGGGAGACAACGAGGTGGACCCTCGAGAAGAGCATGGTGGCGAGCTCAGTGACGTTGGCGAAGAGGATGACGTCCGAGTCGAGGAAGAAGACAGGCGCTCATGACCTCACACCGTACCCCTTAAACGCACGTGTTCACCCATCTGTACCTGGGCCAGCGCTGCGACACAACCAAATGCACCCTCGAGAAGAGCATGGTGGCGAGCTCAGTGACGTTGGCGAAGAGGATGACTTCAGAGCCGAGGAAGAAGATGCACCCACGTACCCACTCACCTGTACATGTACCTCCCATACCTTGCACTCATACCGCCCGCCCACCCATACCTAGGCCAGCGCTGGGAGACGACCAAGTGAACTCTCGAAAACAGCATGGTGGCGAGCTCAGTGACGTTGGCGAAGAGGATGACGTCCGAGTCGAGGAAGAAGACGCACCATATACCCCACACGCATACCCCCCCACACCTAAACACCCAACCATACCTGGGCCAGCGTTGCGACACCACAAGGTGCACGCGGGAAAAGAGCATGGTGGCGAGCTCAGTGACGTTGGCAAAGAGAATGACGTCCGAGTCGAGGAAGAAGATGCGGGGGAAGGCATGTCGCTCCATGAAGGCCTTGAGTATGAACCAGCGCACCTGGTGAGTTGGAGAGAGACGGGACCGTGGGAGACATGCGGGTATGCGGAGATGAGGGGAGAGGAGGGGAGAGGAGGGGAGAGGAGGGGAGAGGAGGGGAGATGAGGGGAGAGGAGGGGAGATGAGGGGAGATGAGGGGAGAGGAGGCAGACATGAGGATGAGGAGGGTATGTGGTGAGAGTGGGACACAAGGTCCCCATTGACGTCCGAGTCGAGGAAAAAGATGTGCGGGAAAGCATGGCGCTTGGAGGAAGAAGATGCGGAAGATGTGCGGATGGCGCTTGGCGCTTGGTGCGCTGGTTTATCCTCAAGGCATGTCGCTGCATGAACGCCTTGAGCATGAACCAGCGCACCTGAGACGGGAAGGTGTGGGGGAGGGAAAGGTGTGGGGGAGGAGACAGCAGCGGAGACAACAAAAAGCGGAATTGAGATGGTGGTGACTTGATAAGAGCATCGCAGCACACAATGAATGAACACACCTGATATGACACAGGATCCCTGAGGATGGCAGAGAACCAGCCGACAACATCTTCATACCCAATGACCGGGTCTAGAACGATATCGAGCTCCCTCGCCATCTCCACACACTCGTCGCTGTCGGGCCCGATGAAATACACACCACCGCGTTGCGCTTGATAGAGTAGTTGATAGAGTAGTTGATAGAGAGTCACGGGACACAACACAATGAACACAACGCACCTGGTAAGATACGGGATCTCCCAGATTGGCTGAGAACCAGCCAACCACATCTTGATACCCAATAACAGGATCCAAAACGATATCCAGCTCCCTCGCCATCTCCACGCACTCGTCGCTGTCGGGCCCGATGAAATACACCACTGCGTTGCGCTGTCGTGTGTGGCGCAGGTTGCGGTGCATGTAGTGGGAGGGGCGGCAGGCCACCGAGCCAGACGGCTGCTGATGCACCACCACCACTGGGATGGGCTGGGGAGGAAAAAACAAGAGAAAAGGCAGGGGAGGGACGGAGAGGGGAATAGAGATGGGTGTGGCGCAGGTTGCGGTGCATGTAGTGGGAGGGACGGCAGGCCTTTGAACCTACGTGATGCGTGCATTGTTGACTTCTGGTGACTTCTCGTGGTGAATTGCGTTTCCCAAGTTACCAAATCTTTACCAGCATCAGCTGCTCTCGCCACGTCAAGCAGTGTGATCAGGTCTCTACAGTAGCTATTAATGAGTCAACTAAAAAACGAAGCAGTGTGATCAGGTCCTGCAGTCGCTGCTTTGTCCTGTCCACTCCTAGTGTCTCCTGATCGATCCTACTTATCCCTGATTTGTCCACGTCACCATTCGAATCAGTGCCACTCACCTGCTTCTTCCACGGCTGCTTAAGTGCCGTGGTGATGGCGTCTGGAAGCTGGCGGTTGAAAATATCCGATGTGAAATTGGCCGGCTGGAAAGAGTGGGGTGAAAGGCAGAGAGAGGAGAGAGGGTGCCGTGTGGGACACTATGATTGATGAGTCGACTCAGAGTGCTGTGGTGGTCGCGTATGGAAGCTGGCAGTTTTAAATATCCGACGTGAGATTGGCAGGCTGGAGAGGGTGTGGCGAAAGGCGGGGAGAGGGGAGGGGAGGGAAGCTGATGACTGATGAGTCGACTCAAAATGCTGTAGTAATGGTGCCTGGCAGCTGACGGTTGGAAATATCCTATGAGATATTGGCAGGCTGGAGAAAGTGGGGCAAAAGGCGGGGAGAAAAGAAAGGGTGAGGTCCAGCAGCTGGCAGTTGAATCGAAAAAGGCTGATGTGAAACTGGCAAGCTGGCTAGGGGAGAGAGAAGGGAGAAGGGACGAAGAGAGGCCCTGATCGGATCATCATCGATGTTCGCACATGCACAATTTGCACCGGGCTTCAGGATTCAGTAAAAAAGCATGGATTCAGGATTCAGTAAAAAAGCATGGATTCAGGATTCAGTAAAAAAGCATGGATTCAGGATTCAGTAAAAAAACATGGATTCAGGATTCAGTAAAAAAGCATGGATTCAGGATTCAGTAAAAAAGCATGGATTCAGGATTCAGTAAAAAAGCATGGATTCAGGATTTACTGATGCACGGGGCAATAACGGTTCATACAGGTGCGTGCTTTGCTGTGCACGGTGATAAGGTAAACTGAACATGAACCTTATTGCCCGTATGAGCTTCACATGCACCCGTATGCACCGGGCAATAACGGTTCATACAGCTGCATGCTGAGTTGTGCACGACGGTGAGAAAGCTAATCTGAACACCAACTACTACCCAGCTTCTGGATGCCTTATAAAGGAATGATAGAGGATGGATAGTACAGAACAGACCCACCCACCCTCTTGTGTCCATCACTTGGAATTGGATTGGACTGGAGAATTACCTTGACCCGCTTGTGAATGCGGCCTCCTTGGGGGAACGGGCAAGTGAACGGCAGCAACCAGCAGCCGAGTGTGAGCCATCTGCGATAGAAGAGCGGCGGGGGGTGGGGTGGGGAGAGGCGGGGGGAAGAGGTGGGGGGAGTAAGTTGGGGGGAATTGTGGAGATTTCATGTGCGCGACAAAAAGTGTGAACCAACTGCAGCATGACACGTGCTGTGCGGAGAGAGGTGGGAAAGGCTGACTCTGACAAGGTTCGGTAACAACTGCTTTCAAGATTGAATTGTTTCGAACCAGGATCACGGAACTTTACTTATTTAGGCGCTCGAGAGTGACCCTACAGGAATGTGATTGCAGCGAGGGCGAAACCAATTTGAACCCTCCGATGTCGCGATCCGGCAGGTCCGCCGCTTCCAACGCCGCCGATCACGGACACTAGGAACCGATTAATCTGAGCACGGTAATTGATTCCCTTACTGCGCTTCGAGTGAGAATCTCCTGGAGACGCGTGCGACGGCGAACCGCCGGTTAAATGGACTACCATGGCGGCACGTTGTGATTGTAAGACTGCTAAACTCTCTTAGTCTAATCACTACAAAGAATCCCACCGAAAAATATCTGAGAAGATAGGGTCCATAACAATCATCAGCTAAATCTCATTTAGATTCTTTCACACAACCATCTGACTTGCAACCAGCCTCGAAACTAGTTGGTGTTGCTCGTAAACTACCATCTAAACATTCCAGCGAAGAGCACTGGTACCACTGGTAGACAACACAACGAAGTGACCACCGTATTGATGCGCGAAACGCGGTAACGAAACCGCGGTGCGTATTCGGATCTTCTAGCTTAGCGATTAGATGCCATTGATAACGAGCAGCTACCTACCAACTCGCGTGTTTTGGCTCCACTGACAGCATCTGAAGCCACGGATCTCCCAAGGTTTGAGTATCGCTCAATACCGCACTTAACCACTTTGAGTATTCATTTGACCGTCGTATAGTGTGAAACACTGGGCCACATTCAGTGCAACACCGTGACAGATTCGATAAGAGCCGCTCGACGGACATTCGAGAAACCACCTGAACGTTGGTAAAGATGGACGATTTCGTCCATATCATCCACATTTCCTCCAGATTATTTTCCAGCGTTACAAAAAGGGAGTACCAACCCAAGATACTACTTGAGTGAATGCTGAGCACCTTACGGGTCAAACGCGTACACTTTTCCAGGATCAATAAGACATACCATGTGACAACATGTGTTGACACAGTGGAACATGACGACGCAAGTCAATGAGCACAAGCCATGGTGATCACAGGTCCAGGAAGTGATACATTGGTCTAGAGGGTTAGACAGGCGTGGAATCAAGGCCAGGCGTGGAATCACCACCAAACCACACTCCGGAAATTAACCACCAGTTAAGCACCTAATATCAATCCAAGGCTTCAGTCTATGCACAGATGACTTGATAAGCTTCAAGCAATGAGGTTAGGGGGTTATGCCTTCTTAGACAACCAAGGCAGTAAGCACTGCTTCGCCATAACTGGTGATGCCACTTCCTCTTTGCCCTTCCTCTCTCGTGACAGTTTCCTAGTAACCCCACTCCCCTTCTCCTTCGCCACTGTCCCCTTCACAGACTTCTCCGCTTTCAGCTTCCGTTCCTGCCCTTTAGCTACAGCAGCGCGAAGCCTGCTTTCCTCCGCAACCTTGCCACTTCCTTTCCGCGCCAAGCAACTCTCCTCGAATTGCACACACGGTTCCCCGCTTTTCCCCGCGGCTCTCTCCGCTCCCCCAGCGCCTTCCGCTTTCACGCCCCCTCTTTCCGCGTTTCCCCCCAACCTGTGAACCGCTTCCGAACTTCCGCTCCGCCGTAGCGCTGCTGCCGTTTTACTATCAGATCCCCCGTCCCGTTGCTCCCCCCCCTCCCGCTGCTCCCCCACATTCGGTTCTGGCTGAACCTTGCTTGATTTAAGTATTCCTTTTAGCGGTTGCTTAGCCTCCTGACTCTGGCTCGGTTGCCTGCTATGCTGCGACGGTTGCAACACCTGCAACGGTTCTGATTGTAGCGGGTACACAGACGGGCTCAGATCTTCTTGAGAATCGTCCTGAATGCCCGTGATATCGAGAGGCGGTAGTTTCGGTTTCCGCAGCTGCTGCCGCTGCTGCTGCTGCTGCTGTTGCTGTTGCTGTGGCGATTGTGAGTTTAACGAACGGGAGCTCGAGTGTGATCTTATCGGAAGCGCGTGACTCACGGGGAGAAGCGCAGCTGAAAGAGCAGGGCCGGTGCGACTGGATTGGCTGGAAGAGCTCAGCTGACGTGGCGTTCGCGGCGCGAATTCCCTCCCCGCGCCTGTGCGCGTCTGCCCTTGCGCAATTCCGCTTCCGCTAGACGGTCTTCCGCCCATTGATGGTGCGCCCGAGGGACTCTTGGGAAATGCGCCCGCTTTTATGCTTGCCACCGCGGCGGCTGCGCGGGCGGCGCTAGCGGGGGACTGCGGCGGGAGAGAGCGGGATTGCGCTAGTGCGCGCAGCTGCTGCTGATTGGGCGGAACAGGCATCCCCGCGCCTCCTCGGTAAGCGCGCGGGGAGGCGGAAGCCATCAGAGCGACCCCGTGCGGCGCGGCGGAGGGCGCGCGGGGGGATTTCGCCGGGACGCGCGGGGACTTTGCGGACAACATGCGCGTTCTGGGGGAAGGCTGATCTGCTGCATGCGCAGAAACCTGCAGGCGCTGCTGCGGGCGCCCGGCAGGAAAGCGATGGGCTCTGGCGGAGCCCCCGCTCGTGGCGCTGCCTGCGCCACTGGATGGGCGGCGGGATTCGACGGCGGGCGGCATGCTAGTGGCTTTCACGAGCACGCGCTTGCCGCGAGTGTTGCGCGGAAACGATGCGGACCCGCCGACTGCGCTGCTGTAATTAGCGCCCCCCCATGGCGCTCCAGCAGCGGTGGCTGCGGCGACCGCGGCGGCGGAAGCGGCAAGGCTCCCACGTCCATGGGACCGTTCGTCTGGCATTGTGCCGGCCTTGCGCAACTTGCGCCGGCCGCTGGCGCCAGTTCCGCTGCCGCTACCCCCAGCGCTGCGACCACTGGCTGGATTGCTGCCAACGGTAGCGCTGCTGGCGAAACTGCCCGTTGAAAGGGCGGACCCCGACAGCTGGCGCCGATGACCGTTAGAACTGACGGAATTCTGGCGCTGGTGACCGTTGGAACTGACGGACAGCTGGCGTCGATGACCGTTAGGACGGAGGGAGTTTTGCCGTTGATGGCCATTGGGACTGACGGACTGCTGCTGCTGATGACCTTGTGAATTGACGGAATCTTGCCGTTGATGACCGATATAACTGACGGACTGCTGCTGTTGATCGCTAAAACTGACGGACCGCGATCGCCCGTGGTTCCCTCGAAGTTGGCGCGGAGCGTTGGGCGCAACCGCAGCGCAATGGACAGGCAAAGACGCGGAGCCCGGAAAGGCCGCGACATTCGCGTTCGCCGCGACATTCGCGTTGGCTGCGGCGCTCGCCGCGAAGTTGGCTGATGGGAGATTTTGACGATGATGAGGCACAGACGCGTATAAATCGGCAACCTGAGCGGGCGCGTTCCCTGCTGCGAATGCCCCGTCAGGAGCAGCCATTTCGAGCGTGACGCAATCTTCGTCGTCGTCGTCGTCGTCATCCTCGTCGCACTGGGGATAGTAATCGTCGCCGTAGCCTTCGCCGTCGCCGTCGCCGTAATCCCCCTCGCCGCCGTCGCCGTAATCCCCCTCGTCGCCGTCGTCGTCGCAGTAGTCGTACACGGGCTCGCCGTCCAGGACGGGCGTGTGCGGCTCGTCGTCGTACACTATAACGGAACCGCTTTGCTCAACAGCGGGGTTAAAACTGGAAGCTGAGTCGTACCCGTTCCAGGACCTAGCAGCACCCATGGCTTCAAACGAGTCGCTTTCATGCTCTTCCACTCTCGGTAGCGGATCGGACGAATGACGTTGGAAGGGCGGTGCGATAGGCTGTGCGAAGTCCTGCGAAAAATACGACGCTTCGTCGTCGCAGTCTTCGTTTACGATCTCGCCCTCGATAACATCATCGAAATCGGAGTCGTCAGTCTGAAGCGGGGGTGCAGAATGCGGGAAATTTGGAACGGATGAGGTGGAGAGTGGCCTGATTCGAGCTCCTTTAGCGGGAAAGACTGCGGGAGAGACGGTCGTCGTGAAAGAGTTGGGCATCGAGGGGCAATAGATCGCCATGGATTCTCCAGGCCCAGCGAAGGGCGAGAAATGATGATGCGGGGGCTGAATGAGAAGTTCTGGTCCTTCATTCATTCTAGGCAGAGTACGAAGTTCTAGCGCTCTCAATAACTACTAATACTCGTGGATGCTGAAAAATGCGTTTTCATAATAAAGAAATATAATGGCGCACGAGTTCCCTGTGGGGTGCGTAGCGTGGGATCAAGCTGGTGTGATGTGCTGGGCCTGGGATAGTTGCTCAGCGTGGGGAAGAAGGAACAGGTTGCGGGGGAGGGAGGGTGGTGGTGGTGTGGTGGTGAGCATCAAGAGGTGGGAGTGATGTAGGCCGTACGGTAGGGGGTGTGTCGGTATGCACACGGAGATTTGGTCACAGAACATGAGGCCAGTGGGGCGAAGTTCTACAGCAGAACTTTCTTCAAGAGAGATTTGTGGACGTACGTACAACAGCAAGAACGAACAACAGCAGGAGGCTTGATTTCCCTCAGGTCCCTTTCCCCTACCTCCCCTCCCCTCCCCTTTCCTGCCTCGAGCACAAGAAGGGGACCTTGGGTTGGGGCAGCTTCACGGGATGGTCAAGGATGGACCATGTACAGTACATCGGAGACGAGTTTCGGAATTGAACAGAAAAGCACAAATCACGACTGCGTTCTGCAGGCACGACAGAGGGGGGGGAGGCGGTAAATAGGAACCTTCCCCCAACTGCGTTTTTTGGATCAAACGCCCGGTCAGCCCGGAAAATGGATCCGAGCCTGCCATTTACCCTCCGAACGTAAACGAAGGTAAATGGCAACAGAACAGCCATTTACCCTCGAGGTTATGAGGGCGTAGGAAGCTGCCTATTTCCCCACCCCAGCTTCCTTCTCTGGCAAAATTTGCCTCCTCCTCCCCCCCTTTCGAAAACTGCTCTTGCCCTGGATGTGAGACGGAGGGGGGAGGGAGGCGGGGGTTAGGAAACACCACGGTTGAACCCTAGAAAGCAACAGTACCTCCCTTAAGTAGCCCAAACAGGGACGCGTCAAACTAACAGGAAAAAAAAACACAGCGAGGTTTGTGTATTGCTGGAGGGAGTGCTTGGGGACCCTTTTTTTCTACGTGGTAACCCTTCTCTAAACTTCAACCCTTTTTCTGATTTCGCGCAGCTCTATCTACCCAAATTCTGTGCGGTGGAAATTGTGGCTGTTTTTCCGGCATTTACCTTCAGCAGCTTCGCACCCTAAACCCGAAACTTCCAACTCTCGGTTGTAGCGAGGGGGGGGAGAGTCCAGGGGAAACTGCCTCGGAGCCATCGTCATTTCCCTTCGCCCCTCCACCTCCCTCCCAAGGCAAATGCCTGCAGAACACAGCCGACAAGTGAGGGGGGGAGGAAGACCGAGGAGTGATGAAAAGAGAAAAATGCTCGGCCTAGTTCGTTTTAAAGCGTGTTCAAAGTCGAGGAATGTCGGTGAATGTCAACCCTCGGATCTACGGTTCCAACCGTCAGGATTCACCGACATACTTCGACGTCGAGCTGTGCGGTACTTTGAACACGCTTTTAGATGATTTGGGTAGTGTGGGCTTGTTGACAAGCAGGAAAAAAAAGTGTAACGAAAGGTACATTCAGACGAGCCACGATTTCCCTCCAAGGAAATGGAGGGGGAAAGACGAGAGAAGCAAGCCACCCCACTGAAGGGAGTGACCCACAAAATGAAGAGGGTTTAGATCAGACGTTTTTCGATGGGTGGTGCGATACGCAATGCCAATTTTTTATTCGTCAATGACCATCCTACAGCCGCAAGCCCTGCGTGCGATACGCAAGCCTTGTAGTTCGTTCAACAGTTTGTCCGTTTCGCTCATCGTAACGACGAGCAAACCCCTTGCAAGCTTGCCAGCCAGTCAGCGAGCAGCTCCATCCAAACCAACCATGGTCGTCATTTGTCCAATGGGCACCAGGGAGAGGTGCCTGTGGTCGATCAGCAGTGGCGCTGCCTCACCGCGACTGGTTGCAGGATTTTCGACAAACTCGGGACGAGATTCGTCTGACAATCCAAACCTCCGCGAAAACTGTCCTTGTTCGCGGGCGACACATCGCTCATCGGCACTGTCGCGCAGCAGACAGACACCCAAACCAACAGAGCACAGCATCAACGGAAATACGCGTTACTAGGCTGCATAACAACGAACCTGGAGTTTATCATCTGCCATAAATTTCAACAACAGGCTTTAAAATTACCGAGTACAGGACAAAGATTTACGAAACCCTAGATACTCAACCCCTGTCCCCCTGCTAAAACCAGAGTCCGCCATTCCTGCGTTGCTTAGAAGCTTCGAGATTACGGTTCTGCATACCTTTTACCATCTCCGGCTACCGTTTCGATCGAAATGCTTTCTCTTACCAGCCGTCCTCACTGCGGCTTCAGCCGCTCAGAAATCGCAGCCGCGCTTAGATTAAGCCCGGGATCGCAAGCACAGAAACACGGGGTGCAACAACAGCAACCATGGAATCGACGAATCGTCATATCGGCAGCGGGGAAAGGATCAAAGGCAAAGACTGCGTCGAGTGGAGGCTTCGGCGCGAAGACCAAGGCCGGGGTGAAAGCGGCGGCCACGCCTAAAAGTGGGTTGCGTACTACTCTGAAAACGTTCGCACCTCTTGTTTTCGCTGTGGCGCAAGTTTCCGAAAGCCAATGTCTGCTTATTTGTTCCTATGTGGCGTTTGTCTCTGTCGGTTCCTCTGTTACGTTGTTACAAGCCGTGAAACGCCATAAAACAATCATTCAATTTGCTTCCTCTTATTGCTGTCCCCCAATGCCGCATTGTTCCCCTATCCCCGTTATTAGTCGACGCGGCTGCGCTCCTAAGGCGCAGCGAGCAACAGTACCACCAGCTCCTATGCGACTACCATCAGCAATACCATTCCCAGTCAGAAAATGCAGAAGCGTCCTCTGCAGATTCCTTTCCGGAATCCCCGGGGCTAAGGGAGTACGTCATTTGCGTCAGGCGAATGCAGCAGTCGGGTGCCACGTCAGCGGGACCTTCTGCTGACGTGGCCCTCTCTGATTGGCTTCCTGTAGTGGAGCTGATCCTGGTTTCAGATGAAGAAGCAGCGACGGCCATGCCTAAAGTGTTGCCGCACGTGTGCAGGTGGGTGGGGAATCCTGGCATTCCATTTGATTCACTGAGAGTGTTAGAGGGCAGGCCCATTGGCAAAATGGGAGGAGGACGGAGGAAAGAAGGGGAGGGAGAAGGGGTGAGGAGGGGGGGGGGGGGGGGGGGGGGGGGGGGAAGGGGAGGTAGAGTCAAGGCATGCCTCTTTACACAAATGTATTTCCTTACATGCTGAGCATTCTGCTAGTGAAAAGTTAAATTTCCTTAGAAATCACGAGTTTTGAAGGTTGCGTGCAATCTGTCTCTCTCTACCTTTACCATGTTCCTCCCTGGTTTCCCTCATATTTGTTGACCCTCTATTTTTCCGTTAAAAAAAAAAAAAAAAAAAAAAAAAAAAAAAGTGTTTTTTTCTAAACACTTGCTCCTGTGTTTTGCGTGTTCCCTGTCACTTTTTTCTGGTTTCAGGTTGATAGCAGAGAGCGCAGGCTCATTTGTCAGCTCAGTGCCACGTCACCTGTAAGTACCGCCAACCATTCCCCTCACTCCCTATCTCCCATCTTTCTGGATTGCCTCGAGCTTTTTCCTTCGACGTCCCGTTTTCTCTTTGTTCTCTAGTGGTTATCACCACCTGCCATATGATCTGCCACACGAAACCCGTTCACCCAGGCTGGAGTATGCATATGAGAGTGCAGAGAGCTTCTACGACGAGGTGGTAACCGCCATGCTCGACTCCTGCTACCCTTCCTCCTGTTCTTTCTCATCCCTCCCTCTGCCTGCCCAAACCCCAACAGGCTGGAATATGCATACGAGAGTGCAGAGAGCTTCTACGACGAGGTGGTAACCGCCATGCTCGGCACCTCGCCCACGTCGTCCACAGGCGGTGACAATAAAGGGGCGGAGGAGCATTCCTGCCCCTACTCCATCCTCGGCATTGCCAAGAGCGCTGCTCCCTCCCAGGTGATCCCTCCCAGGTGCTCCATTATAGGTGCTTCCTCACAGGTACTCCCCCACAGGTGAGCTGAGATCTCTCAAAACACCCTGAAGGCGCGGAGGAGCACTCCTGCCCCTACTCCATCCTCGGCATTGCCAAGAGCGCTGCTCCCTCTCAGGTGCTCCCGCATATCATAGGTGCTCCCTTATAGGTGCTCCCCTCGTAGGTTCTCCCTCCCAGGTTTTCCTCTCTCGGTGTGCCCTGAACACATCTCTCTCTAATCCATCCGATGTGTCCTTCCCGACCACCATGTTATCAGCTTGTGATGGCAGGAGGGAGTTGCAAAGGCCCTTACTCCTTATTCACTCCCTCCTCGCCGTCCTCCTCAGTATTGGCAGTGCACGGAGCTCTGCTCTTTCACCGTTTGCTAACCCTTGTGAGGTGACCACTCTGCTTATCTAGTTTTCCCTCTCTCTTCCTTTCCTCTCATTCTCACTCTCCCTCTCCCTCACTTCCCCCCTTCCCTCGCATCTGGGCAGCGTATCACCCAGACAGGCACAACACGCATGACGTTCTAGAGCTTAAATAAACCTATATTATATTTCTGAACTTTTGTTGTCCCCCCATGGCTCAGATCCGGGCGGCGTACCGCTCACTGGCAGCCAGGCATCACCCAGACAGGCACAACACGCATGACGACAAGGCCTCTGCAGAGGCCCAGTTTATGAAGGTGAGGATGTGGGGAGGGTTGTGTCGTGTACAGTACAATCGTGCTGCTGACGAGCTTTTTTGCTTTCGAGATGGCTCAACAAAAGAAGTGGCTTCTCTCGAGATGGGCACGAGTTGTCTCTTTCTTTGCCTTGTTGCTCACATGACCTTGAATGGGTCCCCAAATGTGCAGATTACCGAGGCTTATGAGCGAATCAAAAGGGGCGGCCACGTGTCCGTTGGTGCATCTTCTGCTGGAACCTATGCTTCATTGGGAGGTGGCAAACGGGAGGGACTAAGCCCAGCACTGCAAATCCGACCAAGCCCACTAAACGAGAAACTACCTCCTGGAGTGACGGTTGCTGTTAGAGGGCTGGAGCCTGAAATAGTAGAGCTTTTCTTGGCGCAAGCAACGCGACGATCTCGAGCAGCAGCTGCAGTTGCTGCTACGAGGTGACACCAACTTATGCCAATTTGTGTAGGACTACTGTATTCTAAATTAAATATGGTATGTGTTTGTTGGCAATTTGGGAAGCCACAACAACACGCAGCAGTCACAAATGGTGGGGAATCTTGCAAAATCTTGCAAGAATAGTGGGAATGTCGAGGTACATGAGGTTGTTTTCACGGCTGGTGAAATGAGTTGTTAGATGCAGCTGTGATAATGGGTGAACCGGTATAAGAAATAGGCTTCTTAGTTACTGTAATGAATTTGACTTCCTGAATACTAGTAACCTCAAGTTTGACATTTGTTACAGTAGCAAAAAGTGTCAGGAGCTTGCAATCAGTGCGGTTCGTGGGGTTCCAGCCAGCAGACAAGGCTGCAATGACCACCTCGAGTTCTCCCCCCAACCGCGAGGACCGGCGTTTTTCATCTGGCCAGCCTGGAAAGGAGGGAGCGGGGACCGAATGGTGTTTCCCGCCAAGTCATCACAGCCAATCCCCATCATTCTGTATGCCTGATGAAAGTGGTGCACCATGCCTGTCAGCTGCACTTCCTTGCAAACCGAATCTGTCTTAGCACCAGCTTTGTCTTAGCTTCTTAGTGAAATTCCCCAGGATACAGAATCTAGGACTTTTCAAGGTTCAGCATCTCGAGCGGAATCATCGCGAGGGCTATTGCGAGACCCGTCGATTGTTTTAGAGTGTGTCTGGTCTTGCCTTCGTCCAGCATTCTGGGTGGTATCGAGAGTGTTGGTTTCGCGTCATGGAGCAGGTGAATATAGGTTGGGGTGCTGTTGGTCGCTTTCGTGGACCGTTTTCGCGCGTTCGAGACAATCTAACGATATATTTTCTTATTGCAGTATGAGAAAGTCGAGAAAATTGGAGAAGGGACGTACGGTGTCGTGTACAAAGCGCGTGATAGACTGACCAATGAGACGATAGCGCTGAAGAAGATTCGGCTAGAAGCCGAAGACGAGGGTGTCCCAAGCACGGCTATTAGAGAGATTGCACTGCTGAAGGAGATGCAGCACGGGAATATTGTCAGGTTAGTATTGGCGTCGTTGGATCCTTTGTTCTTCCCATTGGGAACGCACCTAAAATGAATCTTACCTGACTACCTTTTCTTGACTTCAGGCTTCAAGATGTTGTGCATGCTGACCGAAGGTTGTACCTTGTCTTCGAGTACCTCGATCTGGACCTCAAGAAGCATCTTGATACTAGTCCTCACATTGCGCAGGACAGGATGATTATCAAGGTGAGCCTCGTCATCACCAAAAGTAGTAACTTTTAATCCAACAGCTTTAAGGGCAAATTTGGTTCGCTTTACTAGAATTTGGGTGTTTAGCTAATCCCACTTAACACGTCGGCCTGCTCGTTTGCCATATGCAGTCCTACATGTACCAGATTCTTCAAGGAGTAGCATACTGCCACGCTCACCGTGTTTTGCACCGGGACTTGAAGCCTCAGAACCTTCTCATCGACCGTCAGACGAATTCCTTGAAACTCGCTGATTTCGGCCTTGCCAGGGCGTTCGGGATTCCAGTGCGGACGTTCACACACGAGGTGAGATGGGGCTACCAATCAAAATCACGCGATCATGTTGATCTATCCTTCACCCACGAACTCGCAAGGGGCGGGACTGATCGTGAACGGATAGACCGTGGTTGCCTGACACTAGTGTGACATTCTGTCCGTTCTATGCTTCGTCTGGTTGCAGGTCGTGACCCTGTGGTATAGGGCCCCAGAAATCCTTCTGGGTTCAAATCACTACGGAACGCCTGTGGACATCTGGTCTGTTGGTTGCATCTTTGCGGAGATGATAAATCAGCGCCCCCTATTCCCAGGAGATTCCGAAATTGATGAGCTGTTCAAAATATTCAGGTGAGTCTAGCCCCAAGACGCTGATTGATGGCTCAACTTGGCCCAGAAAGTTTTCTTAACTTGTTCTGCTTGTCTGTGGCCAAACTTGACAGATTGTTGGGAACGCCAAATGATGATAATTGGCCAGGGGTTTCACAACTTCCTGACTACAAAACATCGTTTCCTCAATGGACAGCCAAGGTAAGACCTCCTCCTCACTCGTTTTTTTATTGTTTTGTTCTAATGGAGGTCATACAACCTAGATTGGTGCATCACAGTGACAGTTTCTTCTTTGTGTTGACTCTCAATTCATGCATTATCCGTCTTTTTAACCCCCCCAGGATCATCAGTCCATTGTGCCAACGTTGGAAAAGAGCGGAATAGATCTTTTGTCGGTGAGTTTCTGGGTGTTTCTTTTTCTACAGGTCCATTCATCTTGCTTTACGTTCCTTAGAACTAGCATACTTATGCCTGTTGCCTTTTCCGTGTGCAGAAAATGCTTTGTCTTGACCCAAGTAAGCGTGTCACTGCACGAGAAGCACTTGAGCACGAGTACTTCAGGGATTTGTTAAATCTGGCTGGTCGTTGATGAATTCATTGTTTGTGGGCTTGAGTTTGCTGGTTTTGTTTTGTGAAAACTCCTGTAGACCTTGTACATTATTTGGAGTGCCAATATCCTTCGTGTATCTTAACTAGCACCAAAAGCTTTATTAGCAGCTTCTTCATTTTTCCCTAACCACCAATGTTGTAATACAGTAGCGAGGATCAACCAAATTGCTCGGCTCAACTCAACCCTCTCGAGCTTCAAACCTGAACCCTTCAAAATCTTTGCAGGAAGCCAACCATTCATAGCTTTCCCCTTACCTAGACTAAACTGCTATGTTGCGGAGTAGCTGGCGCCTGTGCGTGTGCAATACCTACTCGCACGACTGGCCGCAATCTTGCCTCAGCGTTTTCGATTGGCGTCTTTGCTCGGTCTAAAGTTCGGAAGCGGCTTTCTTAGAAAATAGAAGGATGTTCGTAATCTAGCACTGCAGACCACGCTCGCTCCAGCTGGTCAGCGCTTTTCTTTAGCGGGGTGCATACTTTCCTTTTTAACGGGACTATATTTTATGGAGCTTCAAGGCACTCCCGTATCGGCGGCAAAAGGCGGGCGATTATTACGCCGTTTTCTTCTGTACGTTCCAGAGCTTCAAACTGACGCTCCAGATCTTTATTCGCATCTTAGCACTATCCTGACCGTTCTCGATCCATCCGGGCCACCAATCAATGCGCCAGAAGCCGATGCACATAATTCTCCTGAGGTCAGTGCTGGTAAGGGTTTAGCCAACAGCGCCGTTGCAGATGGCGGCGAAGGTGCTAACGAAGCAGAAGAAGCAGACGTGCGGAAAACAGAAGCTGCAACACCAGCGAGTAAGACGACATTGTCTGCAGAGACTACCGATAGCGGAAAGAAGAAGAGAAAGAAGAAATCGGTGACAGTGGATGACAATGTTGGTGGTGGTCATCGGCAAGAGCCTAGCGTTGGGAGAGTGAAGACTCCCAAGAAGAAGAGGAAGTCCCGAGATGCTACAGAAAGCGGGGATGCCGGCGGGGTTAGACAAGAAACGAGTCAGCGGCAGGACGGCGTAGAGGAGGGTAGCGTTCCAGGAGCAGATGTGATCCCTGACAAAACGGAGAATGGCGTCGTGAGCGAACAGAGTGCAAGGAAGAAGAAATCGAAGGGCCAGACCCAGGAGGTGCAAGGGACGCCTAGCTCGGGTGGAAAGGGTGGTGGGAGTGATTCGAAGGGGACAGGTGGAAGCAGTGTGAAGCCTGGTGTGGGACAGGAGGCGGTGGAAGGGAAATTGCCAGCAAAGTCGACTGATCTGGCAAGGTTGAAGTCTCCGGATTCAATAAAGAAGAAAAAGAAGTCTGTTGCACCGTCTGGTCATTGAATGGTATTTTTGCAAGATTCTGGAATTGTGTGGAATGGAGAGGCGCAGGGGATGGCAATATGGCCTGAGGCAGTCTGCTGCACGCAGGAGCAGGTGCAGATCCTTCAAATTACGTTGTCAACATCATGTTCTATAAACCAGTGCGATTGACCCCAATATGAAATGAGCTTTTCGCCCTAAAACCATCTTATTAAAGCCCCTTTGAGTACATGCGTTTACGAAGTACACAAACTCTGCATGACCCTCATTCCATTGTCAGCAGTTGTACGGTTGGGTTTCTGCTAAGTTTAAGAACAAGCCAGAGCTCTAAAAGGCCAGAAAAATGCTCATTCCCTTAGCACTCATGTGCATGCTTCAAATTTTGCTGCTCACAACTAGGAGCCTGGTGAGAGGACTCTCTCCAAGCTGCCTGCATGTGTTGCAGTATGCGGTGCTGCAACCAACACACCACCAGCTTGTTTCATAAATGATTGAAACAGTGGACATTTGAGATCCCTGTCACCACCTACCGGTAAAATGCACTTACCGAGTGAAGCATCATCAGAGTGGGCCTGAGTCGACATGATGGATGGGGTGGAAACCAAACATTGGCAGAAACGGTCATGGGACCAAAGGTGAAAACCTGCAAGAGATATGGACGAAAGATAAGATAAAGGTAACCATTCCTATGAATATAATGGGACAAAGATACGGCTCTCTCCTCCCTCACCTCGTGCCACCATCCTGCTGGTATAAATATTGCTTCCCCCTGCATTAGCTGCACGCAGGCACCGACAAGAAAAGATAATTATTTTTACATATAATTCTCGTATGATCCCAGTGGAAAGCATGAGAGAGCAGCAGAATGAGAGATGTCACCTGAACTCGGTAACATGTGACATGAGAGAAAAAAAGGGGATGTTTGTCAGGACATGCAGTGAGGATGGAAGGAAGAGACGATTTGTTGTTGATAGAACCTGCCATAAACATAACACACAGAATTAGGCAAATAAAGGGCAGACATGCAAACAACAATGGTAAAAAAACATAGCGGAAACGAGGCTCAGCGTACCTTCACTCCATGGCATGGGATAGAGGAAGATGGAATCAGAGGGGCTGTAGAGGTGAACGATCTTGCTGCCCTGCAAGCACACGTGGACATTGTCCATGCCATCAAAGTGAATCTGACTCGTGGCACTCCGTCCCACCCACAAGTTCCATTGCTCACGACCACCAGCCCCACTTCGTCTGAGAGCATTTAGGAACGGAGGAGAAAGCGTGGGGGCCAGCAGCTGATCTATGAATACACTGAAACCTTGTGCTGTGTTCTCCTCTGATTTCAGGAAACCTAATGCCTCTGATGACTGGCAACCCTTTTGTGACTTCCCTTCCTGCAAGTTACTGTTGCTCAAAGATTCTCGAGATATTTCAGTGGACGTGCGCTCAACGTCTGGCTGCATGGACGTTGATGATTGGGGAAGTCCACGCCACGTCAGATACATCAACTGCCATGCTGGCAAGGGTGGCTCTGATGACTTGGATGGTTGGGAAGAGGGTCCTCTGCAGGTTGATAGTAATCGGCCCAGAGACATTAAGTGTACAGAGGAATGTGGAAGGTACGAGAATTGCAATGCCGGTGCCGGTTGTGCCTCAGGCGCTGAGACAGCGCATATGAGCCTTGCTGCTTCTCTGATTGCGCATGTCTCTTTGATGGATGGCTCACTGGCTGCATGCATGTCTGCTGCTGCCATTGCTGCTGTTGATGATGGCGCGGGTGTCTCACAGGATTCCACTGCATATTCCCTGGCAGTAACGCCGGCGCCATCCACACACTTCCGCTTCTTAGCCACTCCTGCTGCTCCTGCTTCTGCTTCTTTTGTCCCCACAATGCATGAGGCCATCTTGATCGTCGCTGCATCCTCAGCTTCTTTCGTTCCCACATCGCACGAGGCGCTCTTGACCGTTGATGCTACCGCTGAGTCGGCGATTCTGCTGTCGGTACGGAAATCGAGGCGGAAAACCTCAACCTGACTGAGGATGGCAGGGAGAGGCAACGGAGAGGAAGAGAAGAGGCAGAAAAGAGGGAGAGGAGAGGAAGGGGAGGAAAAGAGGAGAGGCAGGAAAGTGGGAGAGGAGAGGCAAAGGAGAAAATAGGAGAGGTAGGAGGAGAAGCAGGTGTAGAAGCAGAGGAGAGGCCAAGGAGACGCAGCTAAGAAGTGGAAAACAGACAGCAGACTTAACCACAGAAGAACGGACTTTGAAGCACGTCGGCGATATAATCAGATTTAAGTTCCGACAGCTCGTGTTTGATGCAAACATGTGCAAATTTATTTGCAAGCGCAATAACAGTTAAAATACCTGGTTTTTTCTGACCGCTCACCTCTACTTCGTCGCCGAGGAGGCCTTCTAGTCCCTCCGTAACACACGGAGCCTGTAGAATGTTCGTCCATGGTGGTAACCAGTCCGCTGGCATCACTACTGGTTCAGAGTGGAACCCTCGACAAGTGAGCCCGAATTCGGCTGCTGTGGTTGAAGCCGTCAAGCGTTTCACGGGGTTTGAGTGCTTGAGAGAAGCTTCCGCTGCGCGAAGCCTTACCAGAAAGTGACTTTGTAGAGGAGACGCTTCCCATTCTGAAGAGAAGGCCAGATTCTGACTAGGAAGGCGATGGGGCTCCGCCATGGAATCCAGTTTGGAGAATGTGGCTGGTAGAGGTAAGGAAATGTGGACTTGAGCTGCTTGCGAAGCTTGTTTACCCTGGCGAAGTCGAAAGTGCTACTGTTACGAAATCACTGCCTGTCTTGGAGAGGGACTTTGCGAAGGGATTCGGCCCAGAATTGTGGTTACGCATGACGTGTTTTCGCACAATATTCCCTTTCCCACAGCTCCCTCCAACATGTCCGAACCAAACTCTTGATTCATGAGGCATTTCATCCACGTAGATATATTGCAGCCTGTCTGGGAGGGCAGAGCCGCACCTTGAACTTGTCAACTGACAGAAAACAGCTCCGTTGATGTCGACCCGCGCCTCCAGAAACCAATCATTACACAGCTGCGTCGAATCAGGGACAAATTTCTCCTGGTTTCGCCGTCAGGCCGGGCCAGAGAGTCAATATCAGAATTGCCTTGCTTCCCGAATGACCGATTGCGACATGGCCTGTCGGAGATGTCGACTGAGTCCGTCAACAGAGGAGACCGACGAGAGAGTGAATACGCCGAGTATGGCAAACAGCATGTCAATGTTTCCGTCAAAAGTAGAGCGACGAGAGTGTCTGTCAGATAATGAAGGGACAGGAAGAATTCCGTCATTGCAGATGCCTTGCACCGTCCTTATCTCGTTGACCTCCGTCTTCCTCAGCACTGCACTCCCATGATTCTTGAACTGCTGGGCTATTCTACTGTAACCACATCATGTCCGCCATTACCCTGTCATCGACTATGAGGGAGATTCACTGGAATTCTCTCAGGCAGTGATTCCGTCGTCAGGCTTGCTAGGATCCCAATACGAGATCCTCAGACTCCTCAGACTAAATTCTTCACACCGCTCCTGGTCAACCTTACCTTACAGCATATTGAAGCGTTCCACGGATTTCACCTTGCCATGTAAGCCACGCGGCTCTTTCCATCACATTATCCATTCATTATGGATGTCAGTAAGAAGGCTTAGAGCCTTATGATTCTTATCTGACTGCTCATTATCCTATCTCATGTTCTATTCTCATTCCATACAGAGCGCGAACTTCCTTGTGACATCTTGTTGCTGGATGATCCTTGTCCGTCAGTGACATCTCGACTTTCCTCTTCTGGACATTCCAAAGAACACTTAACATGGCTGACTCCTTACGACGTCCTTCTAATGGTGATTCTTGGTCCGCCGTTCATCACCTAAGGCCGTCCCTCTCATCCAGTGCTCCGCTCTCTGTTACGTCAACTCCAAATCTTCCTTCGTCAGGACTGAGATCTTCTGGGATGTCAAGAACGTCAAGTGATCACCTCTTTTCGTCGCCTAAACCAGTTCCTTCCAGTCGAGCTTCTTCAATACCATCCATGCTTGTGACGACCGAGCGGCTGGAAGATGAGACTGTCAAATCTCTCATTTCAGAGGGACTTGGAGATCTTGATGAATCAGGAGGCTTCCCGTTTCTTGGTGGTGAAGATCCAGATGCCACGATGGTTGATGTAAGGGAGGGACGGGATAATGGCAAAGAGCACGAAACTGCTACAACAGATGGAGAACTAAGCCGTGTTTGCAACATGCTGATGAGCCTCTTTGCTAGCCGTAGCTGCAACAGCACACCACGCACCACTGGCACTCCTAGTCAAGGGGTAACTCCTAGCGATCTTGTTGCACGGAGACGTACGGACGGGGTGACGCTTCCACGGCAGCAAAATGTGCAAGTGAACAGAGGTGACAGGGAAGTTGTCGACTTATGGAGAAACCTTCCACACTTGAGGACCAGACCACCTCAGCAACAAGCCAGTGTCCTGAGGGAATGCCAGGAGCGTGTGACGACCCACACTCAACCTGATGTCTGTGATGACATTCGTCGTCCTTCTGCTGGTATTCTTGAGAAGCAAGACGTGGCCAACCTTCTGGACGCAGCTTTAGCAGGAGCTACACTACAACCGGACGAAGCCAGGTGCGTAGTACTCATAAAAATTCTGATTGTGCTGATATTCTACTCTGTTTTAAATAACAGCTTCTTTTGTGTTTTCAGGTGGAGACGTCTTGGCGAAGGCCTGGAATCGCTGCTGTCTGGCATGCAAGATCATCAGAAGGAAGAGAACATCAATTACCTCATGCACTGGCTGCAGCAAGTGACTGAGGTAAGTGGTGAAATCTCTCTTACCAAGTCAAATCATATAGTACATTCGCTTATGTTCCTGTGGTTGTGCAGGAACAAGATTCCACTTCTATGCAGGCTTCTGACGTGGCGGAGTATGGTAATAATGACTTCAGAGCTAGCTTTCTGCAGCAGCTGGAGGTGATTGCGGGAATCACTTCACACGAAGTGGCTTCCGGATCCAGTTACTGTGACCCAGTGGATCTGGTGGGAAGCTTTGGTGAGCTGAGCGAAGGGCCTGCTGCTCTAAACGACAGTGGCACGGAATTGCACGCCAGCAATAGCAGCAGCAGTAACAGCAGCGATGGGCTTGGGAGATTGGCTTGTGTTTCTGATGCTCCTGGCAAGGCACGGCAGGGGGGCAATCCAGAGCGCAACGAAGTGCATCGTAACGGAGGGAGGAACCTTCCCGGGATAGATAAGAACCCTGGTCTGGCGAATGTACCAGCCAGGAGCGGAATTGGAATTGGACGGAGGCATGGAGCGGAACAGGAGGTCACGGCAGAGAGCAGTGGGACTGAAGCTGAGAAAAGCTGCAGCAACTCTGAGGATGGCGAGGTGGACGAGGATGAAAAGGCTCCTGTTGGATTGAGAGGATACAGCAGCGCATGGAGCAACGTCCACAGTGTGAACTGGCTGGCGACCAGGCGCACGTCAGAAGACAGCTTTCTGGGAAACCGGTCCAGTTCAAGAAATTCCAGTGAGAGGCCGTCTCATGCTCGAAGGCCCATCGGGAGGACTGCGTGTGGAAGGAGGTCAACGACAGATGTGAAGGGTGACGACAGAAAGAGGTCCAGCAGCGTTAGTGTTCCTCGTGGAAAGAGCTTCGGAGAACATGATGGAAATACACTGGCTGCTGTGCAGGCGTCTAGTGTTCATGCGCAAGGACCACGTGAACTGTCTGGTTCTGCTGCAGCTGGGGAGCTTTCAGAAGAGGAAGGGCCTTATCCGCCTGTGCCACAACCACAGTTGCTGTCACAGGACCGATCTATCTCCCTCTCCTCCTTCCTCACAGATATTTTGTCATCCGATGCAGGCTTGCCCGACTTTGCTCTCTCTCCTCCTCAGGCATCCCCTGTTACATCTTCCCATGGCTCTCAGCCTCAGTCAAGAAATGGCTCACCCCGTCCTCCGTCCTCAGAGGACGACCTTCCTCTCCCTTCACTTCTACGCAAACCAACCGAGTGGGGAAAGCTGCAGCAGTCCATGGGCTATGAAACAGGAGCTGTGACTGGCTGCTCTTCAGCAAGCACTGAACCTGGCCCTAGTGTCCAGCTCCCTATACTTCCTCCGCCTCCTTCCACCCTCGTCCCTCCTGGCCTTGCTGCTTCTCTTACGTCCTCCCAGCATTCGAGGTCCTCCTCTAATTCATCTGCGATTCTCATGCCTTCACCTGCTTGCATGGCTTTCTCGCCTCCTTTGCACTCCTCATCCCTTGGCCTTCATGAGCCAGATAAGCCACACACGCTCACCTCGTCACACACGCTCACGCTGCCACAGAACCTACTTTCGTTCTCCAACCCATCCGCCTCCTCTGACAGTGAGGCTGGCTCACCCTTGCATCGAAGCACCAAGGCTCGGGAAAGTCTTCACTCGTTTTCAGATCCCGATCTACCTCTGCCCAAGCTTCAGGGCACTGGCACGAGCAGTCATGCTGGGGAAGCCACCAGTGGGTTACTTCACAATGAGGAGGAGACGCCTGTAGAGGGGATGAATGCAGCAACAACACTTGCTGCTTCTGATACGAGAAGTGTCATGGCTACTGGATTTGTGGGGAATGTAGGAGCTGATACTGGTGCTGGAACCAGTGCTCATGCTGATATACCTGGTCCAAGCAGCAGGAGGACTTCAGAGTTTTCTGGCATGGGATTGCTGACTGGGGGAGGGACTACCTGGGACGAGACGGAGGAAGGCAGTGCGCTCTTGCCCTTGGCGGGAGAGGTAGATGATGTGCGTAATGGTGTTTCTGGCATGGAGTTTGGAGGTATCCTGGATGCTGGTGCTGGAGGGTCGGACGGGTTGGACAACTGGAATGGAAAGGCCAACAGGGATGATGGACAGAGAGTATCCATGGGATTTGGAGGCGTAGCTTCTGAACCAGCCGGAGCTGCAGCTGGCATAGTACAGTCTGGTGGTGGTGCATTAGGAGCTGAAGGCATGGATTTTGAACTGATTCAATCAAGCGGGCAGAATAAAGTGGTTGCAGAGGAGGCCACTCCTCGCCTCTCAGCTGTCCTGCAAGTCCTTCAGTCTGCCCGCCAGAAGATCCGGGCAGTCACTGTTCCACCGCAGCTGCAGCCATCATCAGCTAACGGGATGCTCCTGGACTTCCAAGAGACTGCCAAACCGTCCTCACTGCCAATGCCACGCAAGTCCCCGTTGGGGAATTCCTCCCACATAGATCATCCGCCAGGCCCTTCCGCTGCAGAACCTCGAATCCCACTTACTGGTACCTCTGTGCAACCTCTGGTGGCAGCCGCAAGTGTGGAAAGCTCTCAGCCCGGTCGGCACTCATATTCCTCTCATACGGCTTCAAAGTTGAGGCAGCCAACCACCACCTCACAGAGTCGCAATTTTCCTGCCAAAGAGGTGGCGAGCTCTGGATCAACAAAAGAGAGAGCAGGGTCGCAGACTGCAGGTGATCCTGGTCTTGAAGCTGGCACCAACACGGTGACGTCTGTTTCTGCATTGAGAGAAGTGGTTCGCGCACGGAGGGAGAAACAAACTGGTGCTAGCAGTGGACGGAAGTCAAGTGTGGGACTCAGCAAGAAAGCTTCTGGTACGGGTGCTTCTGCCATTGCTGGAGCAAGTGCTGGCACAGGTGTTGCTACATCCCTGGATGTAGCATACTATGAGGAAAAAGGCCCTCAATCAGGCTCTGGTTCGGAGAGAAGCCGAAGCAGCAAGTCACGGAGAGCTGGCAGTGGGGTTGGAAGTCGTTCTTCTAGAAGTGGGGAGAAGCAAGCAGGGAAAGGCAAGGTGAGGTCTGACTCAGTTGCTGTGCCTCATCATGATGTCTCAACTGCTGATGAGGCAGATGAGAGCATTGTCCCACTAAGGCGATCCAAGCATTCATCAAGTCACCAGCGCTCATCACCATGGATGCTGAAGCAGGGACGTGGTGGAGAGTCGTTGCAGTCAAGCCAGTCAAGCTCATTGAAGTATGCTGGAAGTGCCAAGTGACTGTTGTAATAGTACACGTGTTGAAGTTGATTAGAAGAAAACGCTTGTTAGCAATACTAGCACTTCTAACCAATTTAGAAGTTGGAAGGATGTTGTCTGACTTGAAGTTGATTAGAATAAAACGCTTGTTGGCAATACTAGCAGTTCTAACCAATTTAGAACTTGGAAGGCTGTTGTCTGACATATTTGGGGATATTCACATTGTAAAAAAACCCATTCCCGAAGTAGAAAGGTAATTTGTTTTGCTAACTAGGGTGTGTGACCTATATAGTAGGTTGCGTAGGTGGGGACACAAGGGTTTCATGACACATTCGCAAGTTTGAAAGCACCAGTCAGTAGCATACATGGTCGTAGGTTTGAAAGCAAATGTTTTGATTTTCATGTTTTTATATTTACTAAATTGAGAAACTCAAAACATCATGGGCAACTAGTAGGAGTAGCCAGCCACGAACATGCCCTGCTTGGCCTCCTCAGCCTCACCGTCAGCGGAGTACTTGCCGAGCTGGGCCAGGGAGTTGGCCTTAGCGCGGATGAGCAGAGCGGTCTGAGCAGCCTCAATGTTCTCGGGCTGGCCCTTCCATGTCTTCAGCACCGTGTTCTGGAGAGCGCGGGCGTACGAGAACGACACGTGCCACGGGTTGGGGGACTGGTTCATGGCGTTCAGGTTGAGGGTGGCCTCCACCTCGGACTGGCCGCCGGACAGGAACATGATGCCGGGCACGGCGGGGGGCACGCGCCTCTTGAGCATGTTCAGGGTGTACTCAGCAACCTGCTCGGGGGTGGCCTTGGTCGGGGACTCCGCGCCGGGGGTGACCATGGAAGGCTTCAGGAGGATACCCTCGAACATGACGTTGTTCTCAGCGAGGTAGAAGAAGGTCTTGGCCCACACCTTGGAGGCAACCTCCAGGGTCCTGTCAATGCCGTGGGCGCCGTCGAGGAGGATCTCGGGCTCGACGATGGGGACGAGGCCGTTGTCCTGGGAGATGGCGGCGTAGCGAGCCAGGCCCCACGCGCACTCCTGGACGGCGAGCTCGGAGGGACCGTTGGGGATGGAGACGACGGACCTCCACTTGGCGAAGCGAGCACCCTGCTTGTAGTACGCAGCGGTCCTGGAGGCGAGGCCGTCAAGACCCTGGCACCAGGACTCGTCGTTGGAGCCGGCGAGGGGCACAAGACCCTGCATATTCAAAGAGGACGAAAATAGGGACTCGGAAATTTGTCGGCAAATGAAAACCACCAAGAACTCGTTGAGTTTTATCTTTAAATGTTTGAAACTGTTTGAAACAAAAGCCAAGAAAGCTTTTAGTAATAAACTGAGATAGTAATGAACTGAGAATTTACCTTGTCGACCTTGATGCCGGGAACGATGCCACCGTTGGAGAGGACATCGACCATCTTCTGGCCGTCGACGGTGTTCTGGTACAGGGTCTCCTCGAAGAGGATGGCACCGGACACGTACTCGCCGAGGCCGGGGGTGGAGACGAGCAGGGTGCGGTACGCCTGGCGGTTAGCCTCGGTGTTCTCAAGGCCGATGGAGGCAAGACGAAGACCGCAGGTGGCATTGGACTCGTCCATGGCGAGGATACCCTTGCCGGGGGAGGCAATGTGTTTCTGTTGGGACAAGCAAATATAAAAAATAGACAAGGGAGTTAGATGGCAAGAAAGTGAAAACAAAACATGTGGGAACATTTGATTGAACACTAAGAACGTGAAATGAGACAGCAAACAATAAGTTGAAGGTGGAGTGATCAAACGAAAACGAGTAATCTACTTACAGCGGTCTTCACGAGCTCCTCCTCGTATCCGCCAGCGCGGACGGTGAAGGAGACATTCTTGGCAGCCTGAGGAGCAGCGGCCTGGCGGATAGCCTTGCCGCAGAACTCGGAGCTGCTGACGGTCAGAGCCTGCTTGAGGGAGAGAGCCATCTTTTCTGAACTTGGTAAAAAGTTCAAGGGGAAAGATAGGCTGCAGTTGGAGCTTCTAGCAGGCAAAGAAAACGCAAGGTTGAATGTGACGATGGAACCTTGGGATTATAAATGGAGGGTGGGTGGATGAGGTGGACGGGGTGGGTGTGTGGGGTGAGGGGAAGATGAGGTGGATGTGCTTCGTTTCGTGGGAGGGTGGCGCGACGTGATTGGAGGTTCTAGGAAAGGATGGGTGGTCGTGGTGATGCGAACGACGGATGCGAAAAGTGCGATGAATGATTGCGGTAACAATGCGGGAGAGCGCAGCGGCTGCGATACTCGCAAAGCAGCAACGGCTTCTGGGCGACGCAACGGAACCTTGGTGAGCAACTGGACGGAAGGAAGATGCTGGAGGACACCCTGGCGACGCTTGTGGCTCGCGATGATTTGCACTAGACACTACATCAACGGCTGTCAGACATCATCGAGGTTTGTGGGAACCTCATAGGTTGTAACAATGGTTGTCAGCCACAGGATCTTCGCAAGCCCATTCAAAAGCAGTCATTCTGACATCTGACGTGGCAGTGCTCTTTGACGATCGTCCTTCAGGGGTGTAAGGCTGTCCACGTGGCTCCACATAGCCATGCGCCAAAATTATCCGGTCTGGGTGAGTTGTTCTCATCCAAAAAATGGCCGCTGGCGCCAGATCAGAAAGCCGCCGAGCAATTAGGAGAGAGATGTGACGTCGGATTTGGCACACGCGCTTCCCGTTTGCTGATTCTACAAACGGAAGGCCTCGTTGCAGGGAACACTACCAACAAGCGGATGGACAAAGAGAACAGTGCGAATGGGACTGGCAATGAAGATTTCTGAGCAATAATGATCTACTTTTGTCCTACCCTAATAGAACATGTAGCAAGCAATGCTCTCTGGACAGATACCATTACTGCTTTGCAAAATATTTGACAATCCGTGCAGGAATTTCAACAACATCCTCATCTTTGTTTCTCCCATGATGACCCTCTAGCTGGGGGACAGCCACCACCTCAGGATTCCCCACTGACCCTATTAAGTAACGATCTGCTGCTCCTGCTACTATAGCTGCAAGAGCAGCTGCTTGTAAGAGAGTCCATCCTCGTTGACCCACTGTAGCGGCCACTACAGTGCCTGATATCGCACCAGCTACACTTGAATTCACCTGCAGGAGCATAGAGACAAGAATCATCAGAACCAGGTGCTGACCTGCCAGTGTGGAATCACCTTAACAATATGATCAGCCAATCATCACCTTGACAATATGATCAGCCAATCATCGCCTTAACAACGGCATTCACCCAACCATGTCCATCCCGAGCTCCATCCAGTCACCTCAATCCCAACACCACTCACCCGCTCACCCTTAACCCCGCCGCCACTTACCAGTCATCGTGAACCATCAATTACTAAGAGGCTCATCAAATTCCGGGGAAAAAATCAACCAGTGTGCCTTTTGTGCCACACCATTCACCCAATCCTCTCTATCCCAAATCTAATCACCTTGACCCCACCACCACTCACCCGGTCATCTGACCCCTCATGTGCAAAGAGGCTTATGTGGCACCTTGTGCAGCATGCCAATCGCTGGTTCCTATCTATCCCGGCTCCAACCACATCAAATCCAACGCCACTCACCCAGTCGTCTCATTTCCATCGCCACTCACCCAGTCATCTTGACCCCTCACGCGCTGCGAGGCACATCTGGTTCCCGAGAAGAGAGCAGCAAGCGCACCAAATTTCACACCGTCCCCGAGTGCTGAGCCAGTCTGGGGCGGGCACGAGCACAGAATGGCAAAAACTCGTCAGGGGCAGTTGGAAAAAGTCGTTTGGAATGATGATGGTAGCCGTGATTTTGAAATGGAGATGCAATTTGACGGTGGGGATGGATTGAGTTGCGACACGTGAGGAAGATGGAAAAATCAGGAAGGGATCGAACGAGTTATTGGTTTCGGTGAATGACTTCAGCAAACCATGGAGAGGATGATAAATAGAAGGTACTGGTGGTGTGAACGAGAAGCGCAAGCATTTGCAGCTATCATTGTGAATGTGCAGGCGAGTGATAATGTGTGTCGCGTGACAATAAAAGAGTGTCATAAAAGGTGCGGAAAAGAATGGAAAACGGGAAAACGAGCACATACCACATGAGCGACACGGAAGAGAGGAGAGAATTCTGAAGGGGGGTGAGGGGGGGGAATGGAATGGGGTATGTGGAGGAATGGAGTGTGTGTGTGGGGGGGGGGGGGGGAATGGGACGTGTTGGTGAATCGAATAATGAGGGGAGTTTGGGGGTCAATGGTAAAACAACAACATGAAAAAAACTAAGGGTGGGGGAAGGAGGAGGGGAGGGGCAGGAGGAGGGGGGGCGGGTGAAGGGACTTTCGAGAGAAATTCGTCAGCCAATACAAACAAAGCAGTGCAAGGGAATCTGTTGAGATATGTTATGTTTTGCAAATTGCGAGCTTACCTCTGGGATCAGTAACACCACTGTAGAAGCCCCACATGACTCCGAACTGACAGGCAGAGCCGTTAGGATGAGAGCGAATGGAACGAATAAGGAAAGCTGGAAAGGTGGAAGAGACATCGAGTCAGCTCGAGAACCGAACTGACTGAAAGAGGCGGAAGAATGAGAGCAAGCGAAGGGATGGTGTGGACGAAGAGAGAAGAGTCAGTGCTGACATCAGAGGGAACATGCAGCGCCAGAATGTGGCGGTTGGGTGCGGGTAACGCGCAGCTATTCCCAGTGGATTCAACCTCATTTGCGAAATTGATCGGATTCGCGTTAGATTTCAAATTAGCGGTGGCCGCGTGCGCTTATAACGATGATTGAGAATGACAACTCATGTCAGACAACGCACGATTCTTCCACTATCTTTGAGCCGCCTAATAAATGTAGTCACGCTTTTAGTGACACTGGGTTGCTGATAAGAACAGTACAAAAACGCCTGCGAAACTCACGATGCTTCCGCTGACGCCGGCTGTAGCAGCTACCGTCGCACACGGCGGTTTCACCTCCGACGCCTTTGTCATGACTGTTGAGCGTTGAGCAATTGGGCCTTATCTTATTTTCGACGGGGAGAACCGGAAGTCGGACTGTTGGCCTATCTAAATTCAATGAGGAACAATCAAACGCTAGAAAATAGGTTGGCCGACGAGGAAAAAAAAGGCAAATTGATTTTTGATAGGACAAGACTCGACGTTAACGTCGGACGGGTTGCGTAGATGTTACATTCCTAGTTGTAGATGTTGCATTCCTAACTGACAAAAAAAAGGAAGTGCAATTTTTTTCTTTATTTAGCGCCAAATTTAAGTCTACTGTATTAAGGAATGTGGGAAGTGCTTCTTAATGGTGCAATGTATTCGTTTCAACGTGGATGTTTATGATTTTTAAACATTGAGACACATTGATCGTTTTTTATATGTAGTGCACAAAGATGATACTTTGTATTGTACCATTGCACTATTTTTGGTGAGTTGTTTCAAGCCCAGTCACTGTCACGTGACTGTGCATGTGTTTCCACGTGACAATCCCACCCACCTGTTGCCTCTCCCTCCCACCCACCCACCTCGTCATAGCATCTACCTCCACCCCACCCATCTTTTCTTTCCCACCGCGCCGTCCTCTCTCCCTCCCACCCGCCATCGCTTCTCACCCGCCGTCGCCTCTCCTTCCTACCCGCCGTCGCCGCTCCCTCCTCCCGCCGTCGCCGCTCCCTCCCACCCCGCCGTCGCCTCTCCCTCCTACCCCGCCGTTGCCTCTCCCTCCCATTCCGCCGTCGCCTCTCCCTCACATTCCGCCATCGCCTCTCCCTCCGCCGTCGCCTCTCCCTCCGCCGTCGCCTCTCCCTCCGCCGTCGCCTCTCCCTCCGCCGTCGCCTCTCCCTCCGCCGTCGCCTCTCCCTCCGCCGTCGCCTCTTCCTCCGCCGTCGCCTCTCCCTCCGCCGTCGCCTCCCCCTCCGCCGTCGCCTCTCCCTCCGCCGTCGCCTCTCCCTTCGCCGTCGCCTCGCCCTCCCCATCGTCGCCTCCCTCCCTCCCCGTCGTCGCCTTCCATTCCCTTCCCGCCGTCGCCTCTGGCGACAGGCGCACGAGTGGAGCGCGGGTTGGTGCGCGACCGCCCTTGGTGCGCGACCGCGGGTTTGTGCGCGTCCGCGGCTTGGTGCGCCACCGCGGGTTGGGTTCTCAGGTTCGTTTACCTTTCCCGGTCCCTTTTTCCTCCCCTAAGCCTATGAGTTTCCATGCTTTTTCCCTTTTTCTGATTTTTCTTTGATTTTGTGTGTCGATTGATATGTTGTTCCGTTGCACTTTCATTTGAAGAAGAGGGGAGTGTATACGGGAGCGAGCGCGCCGAGAGTGCGTGTGAGAGTGCGCGTGAGAGAGCGCGTGAGAGTGCGCGTGAGAGTGCGCGTGAGAGAGCGCGTGAGAGTGCGCGTGAGAGTGCGCGTGAGAGAGCGCGTGAGAGAGCGAGTAAGAGTGTGCATGGGAGTGCGCGTGAGAGTGCGCGTGAGAGAGCGCGTGAGAGAGCGCGTGAGAGTGCGCGTGAGAGTGCGCGTGAGAGAGCGCGTGAGAGTGCGCGTGAGAGTGCGCGTGAGAGTGCGCGTGAGAGAGCGAGTAAGAGTGTGCATGGGAGTGCGCGTGAGAGTGCGCGTGAGAGAGCGCGTGAGAGAGCGCGTGAGAGTGCGCGTGAGAGTGCGCGTGAGAGAGCGCGTGAGAGTGCGCGTGAGAGTGCGCGTGAGAGAGCGCGTGAGAGAGCGAGTGAGAGTGTGCATAGGAGTGCGCGTGAGAGTGCGCGTGAGAGAGCGCGTGAGAGAGCGCGTGAGAGTGCGCGTGAGAATGCGCAAGAGAGTGCGAGTGAGAGAGCGCGTGAGAGAGCGAGTGAGAGTGCGCGTGTGAGAGTGAGTGAGAGTGCGCGTGAGAGTGCGCGTGAGAGTGCGCGTGAGAGAGCGCGTGAGAGAGCGAGTAAGAGTGTGCATGGGAGTGCGCGTGAGAGTGCGCGTGAGAGAGCGCGTGAGAGAGCGCGTGAGAGTGCGCGTGAGAGTGCGCGTGAGAGAGCGCGTGAGAGTGCGCGTGAGAGTGCGCGTGAGAGTGCGCGTGAGAGAGCGCGTGAGAGAGCGAGTAAGAGTGTGCATGGGAGTGCGCGTGAGAGTGCGCGTGAGAGAGCGCGTGAGAGAGCGCGTGAGAGTGCGCGTGAGAGTGCGCGTGAGAGAGCGCGTGAGAGTGCGCGTGAGAGTGCGCGTGAGAGAGCGCGTGAGAGAGCGAGTAAGAGTGTGCATGGGAGTGCGCGTGAGAGTGCGCGTGAGAGAGCGCGTGAGAGAGCGCGTGAGAGTGCGCGTGAGAGTGCGCGTGAGAGAGCGCGTGAGAGTGCGCGTGAGAGTGCGCGTGAGAGAGCGCGTGAGAGAGCGAGTAAGAGTGTGCATGGGAGTGCGCGTGAGAGTGCGCGTGAGAGAGCGCGTGAGAGAGCGCGTGAGAGTGCGCGTGAGAGTGCGCGTGAGAGAGCGCGTGAGAGTGCGCGTGAGAGTGCGCGTGAGAGTGCGCGTGAGAGAGCGAGTAAGAGTGTGCATGGGAGTGCGCGTGAGAGTGCGCGTGAGAGAGCGCGTGAGAGAGCGCGTGAGAGTGCGCGTGAGAGTGCGCGTGAGAGAGCGCGTGAGAGTGCGCGTGAGAGTGCGCGTGAGAGAGCGCGTGAGAGAGCGAGTAAGAGTGTGCATGGGAGTGCGCGTGAGAGTGCGCGTGAGAGAGCGCGTGAGAGAGCGCGTGAGAGTGCGCGTGAGAGTGCGCGTGAGAGAGCGCGTGAGAGTGCGCGTGAGAGTGCGCGTGAGAGAGCGCGTGAGAGAGCGAGTAAGAGTGTGCATGGGAGTGCGCGTGAGAGTGCGCGTGAGAGAGCGCGTGAGAGAGCGCGTGAGAGTGCGCGTGAGAGTGCGCGTGAGAGAGCGCGTGAGAGTGCGCGTGAGAGTGCGCGTGAGAGTGCGCGTGAGAGAGCGCGTGAGAGAGCGAGTAAGAGTGTGCATGGGAGTGCGCGTGAGAGTGCGCGTGAGAGAGCGCGTGAGAGAGCGCGTGAGAGTGCGCGTGAGAGTGCGCGTGAGAGAGCGCGTGAGAGTGCGCGTGAGAGTGCGCGTGAGAGAGCGCGTGAGAGAGCGAGTAAGAGTGTGCATGGGAGTGCGCGTGAGAGTGCGCGTGAGAGAGCGCGTGAGAGAGCGCGTGAGAGTGCGCGTGAGAGTGCGCGTGAGAGAGCGCGTGAGAGTGCGCGTGAGAGTGCGCGTGAGAGAGCGCGTGAGAGAGCGAGTAAGAGTGTGCATGGGAGTGCGCGTGAGAGTGCGCGTGAGAGAGCGCGTGAGAGAGCGCGTGAGAGTGCGCGTGAGAGTGCGCGTGAGAGAGCGCGTGAGAGTGCGCGTGAGAGTGCGCGTGAGAGTGCGCGTGAGAGAGCGAGTAAGAGTGTGCATGGGAGTGCGCGTGAGAGTGCGCGTGAGAGAGCGCGTGAGAGAGCGCGTGAGAGTGCGCGTGAGAGTGCGCGTGAGAGAGCGCGTGAGAGTGCGCGTGAGAGTGCGCGTGAGAGAGCGCGTGAGAGAGCGAGTAAGAGTGTGCATGGGAGTGCGCGTGAGAGTGCGCGTGAGAGAGCGCGTGAGAGAGCGCGTGAGAGTGCGCGTGAGAGTGCGCGTGAGAGAGCGCGTGAGAGTGCGCGTGAGAGTGCGCGTGAGAGAGCGCGTGAGAGAGCGAGTAAGAGTGTGCATGGGAGTGCGCGTGAGAGTGCGCGTGAGAGAGCGCGTGAGAGAGCGCGTGAGAGTGCGCGTGAGAGTGCGCGTGAGAGAGCGCGTGAGAGTGCGCGTGAGAGTGCGCGTGAGAGTGCGCGTGAGAGAGCGAGTAAGAGTGTGCATGGGAGTGCGCGTGAGAGTGCGCGTGAGAGAGCGCGTGAGAGAGCGCGTGAGAGTGCGCGTGAGAGTGCGCGTGAGAGAGCGCGTGAGAGTGCGCGTGAGAGTGCGCGTGAGAGAGCGCGTGAGAGAGCGAGTAAGAGTGTGCATGGGAGTGCGCGTGAGAGTGCGCGTGAGAGAGCGCGTGAGAGAGCGCGTGAGAGTGCGCGTGAGAGTGTGCATAGGAGTGCGCGTGAGAGTGCGCGTGAGAGAGCGCGTGAGAGAGCGCGTGAGAGTGCGCGTGAGAGTGCGCGTGAGAGAGCGCGTGAGAGTGCGCGTGAGAGTGCGCGTGAGAGAGCGCGTGAGAGAGCGAGTGAGAGTGTGCATAGGAGTGCGCGTGAGAGTGCGCGTGAGAGAGCGCGTGAGAGAGCGCGTGAGAGTGCGCGTGAGAATGCGCAAGAGAGTGCGAGTGAGAGAGCGCGTGAGAGAGCGAGTGAGAATGCGCGTGTGAGAGTGAGTGAGAGTGCGCGTGAGAGTGCGCGTGAGAGTGCGCGTGAGAGTGCGCGTGAGAGAGCGCGTGAGAGAGCGCGTGAGATTGCGCGTGAGAGAGCGCGTTAGGGAGCGAGTGAGAGTGTGCATAGGAGTGCGCGTGAGAGTGCGCGTGAGAGAGCGCGTGAGAGAGCGCGTGAGAGTGCGCGTGAGAGTGCGCGTGAGAGTGCGCAAGAGAGTGCGAGTGAGAGCGCGTGAGAGTGCGCGTGAGAGTGCGAGTGAGAGCGCGTGAGAGAGCGCGTGAGAGTGCGCGTGAGAGTGCGCGTGAGAGTGCGCGTGAGAGAGCGCGTGAGAGTGCGCGTGAGAGTGCGAGTGAGAGCGCGTGAGAGAGCGCGTGAGAGTGCGCGTGAGAGTGCGAGTGAGAGTGCGTGAGAGAGCGAGTGAGAGAGCGCGTGAGAGAGCAAGTGAGAGTGCGTGTGTGTGAGCGAGTGAGAGTGCACGTGGGAGTGCGCGTGAGGGTGCGAGTGAGAGTGCACGTGGGAGTGCGCGTGAGGGTGCGAGTGAGAGTGCGCGTGAGATTGCGTGTGAGAGAGCGCGTGAGAGTGCGCGTGAGAGTGCGCGTGAGAGTGCGCGTGAGAGTGCGCGTGAGAGAGCGCGTGAGAGAGCGCGTGAGAGTGCGCGTGAGAGTGCGCGTGAGAGAGCGCGTGAGAGTGCGCGTGAGAGAGCGCGTGAGAGAGCGCGTGAGAGTGCGCGTGAGAGTGTGAGTGAGAGCGCGCGTGAGAGTGTGCATAGGAGTGCGCGTGAGAGTGCGCGTGAGAGAGCGCGTGAGAGAGCGCGTGAGAGTGCGCGTGAGAGTGCGCGTGAGAGTGCGCGTGAGAGTGCGCAAGGGAGTGCGAGTGAGAGAGCGCGTGAGAGAGCGAGTGAGAGTGTGCGTGTGAGAGCGAGTGAGAGTGCGCGTGGGAGTGCGCGTGAGGGTGTGCGTGAGAGTGCGCGTGAGAGAGCGCGTGAGAGTGCGCGTGAGAGTGCGCGTGAGAGAGCGCGTGAGAGAGCGCGTGAGAGTGCGCGTGAGAGAGCGCGTGAGAGTGCGCGTGAGAGTGCGCGTGAGAGAGCGCGTGAGAGTGCGCGTGAGAGTGCGTGTGAGAGAGCGCGTAGGAGTGCGCGTGAGAGTGCGCGTGAGAGTGCGCGTGAGAGAGCGCGTGAGAGTGCGCGTGAGAGTGCGCGTGAGAGAGCGCGTGAGAGAGCGCGTGAGAGTGCGCGTGAGAGTGCGCGTGAGAGAGCGCGTGAGAGAGCGAGTGAGAGTGTGCATAGGAGTGCGCGTGAGAGTGCGCGTGAGAGAGCGCGTGAGAGTGCGCGTGAGAGTGCGCGTGAGAGTGCGCAAGAGAGTGCGAGTGAGAGCGCGTGAGAGAGCGAGTGAGAGTGCGTGTGTGAGAGCGAGTGAGAGTGCACGTGTGAGAGCGCGTGAGAGTGCGCGTGAGAGAGCGCGTGAGAGAGAGCGTGAGAGCGCGTGAGAGTGCGCGTGAGAGAGCGCGTGAGAGAGCGCGTGAGAGTGCGCGTGAGAGTGCGCGTGAGAGAGCGCGTGAGAGAGCGAGTGAGAGTGTGCATAGGAGTGCGCGTGAGAGTGCGCGTGAGAGAGCGCGTGAGAGAGCGCGTGAGAGTGCGCATGAGAGTGCGCGTGAGAGTGCGAGTGAGAGAGCGCGTGAGAGAGCGAGTGAGAGTGCGCGTGTGAGAGCGAGTGAGAGTGCGCGTGGGAGTGCGCGTGAGGGTGTGCGTGAGAGTGCGCGTGAGAGAGCGCGTGAGAGTGCGCGTGAGAGAGCGCGTGAGAGAGCGAGTTAGAGAGCGAGTGAGAGAGCGAGTGAGAGTGCAAAATACACATACACTAATGAGAGAGCACCTGAGACAGCACGTGAGAGAGTGCGTAAAACATCGCGTGAGAGAGCGCCCGGGACAGCACGTGAGAGAGCGCGAGAGTGCGCTCTAGAGTGCGCGCGAGAGAGCGCGCGAGAGAGTGCGCAGGAGAGAGCATGCGAGAGAGTGCGCAGGAAAGAGCGCGGGAAAGTGCGCGAAAGTTCGTGAGAGGGAGCACGCGATCGAGTGCGTGAGAGGTGCGTGAGAGTGTGCAAGAGAGACTCGAGAGAGAGCGCGAGAGAGCGCGTGAGAGTGCTGGTGTGAGTGCGAGGGCGAATGCGAGTGAGTGCGGGTGAGTGTGTAAGGCTGAGCGCGATGGTGCGGGTGTGATTGCAGTGGTGAGAGCGAAAGCGAATGCAAGTATGATTCCAAGTGTGAGTGCGTGCATGTGTGAGGATGAGGGTAAGGGTGATTGTGAAGGTGAATGCAAGGGTGGCTGCAGAGTATTGCATGCATGCTGGCGCGGTATGTGTGACGCCATAATGTCTACTATCAAGTCACCTTTATAAGATGTCAAATTTGATTGTTTTCATCACTCATCTTTTGTTTGTATATTGCATTCTTCAGTGCCAATTTCTGTTGCGGTTACTTTTGTTTTTCAGTGCATCGATCTTGTTTTATTGTGCAACTCATGCAAGTTGTATTCTCTGATATTATTATTATTATTATTATTATTATTATTATTATTATTATTATTATTATTATTATTATTATTATTATTTTTTTTTTTTTTTTTTGTGCAGGGAGTGAGTTGCATTCGCTGTTTCTTATACTTTTCCTGTGCAGGGAGTTCAAGCTGCAGGCTTTGTTTCTTCAGAGAAAAGGGACGGGGGGAAGGGAGATGAGGGAGAGAGGGAGGGAGGGAGGGAGGGAAGGGAATGGGGGACAGACTAGGCTAGTGTTGATTTTGTACAAGGTTGAACTTCATTCATTATGCTTGCATGCTGATAACCGTAGCTGTATGTTTTTTGTGTTGTGTGTGTTTGTGTATGTGTGAGCATGTATGTGTGTGAATGCGTACATGTGCGTGCATACGTACATGTTGTGTATGTTTTAGGGTATGGTGCTAAGTGCCTCGTGAATGCAACTCGGATTGTGATCGTCGGTGGGGCAGCTTTGCTAGCCTCTTCCGTACCATATCAATCCTAGTTGCAGCATTGATGCATTTATCATTCGCCTTGAAACATTCTCTCCATTGTTGTCCGTCGTCTGTTTTTGTACCAGCTTGTTATTGTCTGTGCTTGTTTCGGGGTGTGGTGCAAAGTGCCTCGTGTATGCAACTGGGGTTGTGATCGTCGGTGGGGCAGCTTTGCTCGCCTCTTCCGTACCATATCAATCTCAGTTGCTGCATTGATGCATTTTGTATTCCCCTCAAAACATGTGCAGTACAACTGTTTTTGTACATGTTCGTTTTTGTGGTCATTTGTGCATGTGTATCTTTCGATTCGTGTGTCATTTGGTGTCACCATTAGTGCTAGAACGATGGTCCAATTATTCCATTCGCCGTACTTATCGACGATTATGGATGATTGGACACATTTGGTTTCACATGGGGTAACTTGCGTAAACAGCGTTCTCATCCAGAAATTTGGAGGGAAAAAATCACTGTTCACGTCAGTTCCCCGAAAAGTGAAACCAAATGTATAAGGTTGCTACGCAACCCAAAAATGACGAGAGCTGGCCGACGCGCCGTATTGCCGGGTCGGCTAGCTGACACGGAGAGGATGCGGACAACGGAGAGCTGAACACGGGAGGAATGGTTCCACGCGAATGCTGGAAATGGGGCTTCGAGGGCAGAGAGAGACACACCCGCAGAGATTTGGGCTCGGTGGGGGATTCGATTGGACGAGCGCCCGATTTAGGCTCGGTGCGGTTTTCGGTAGAAATACACGGCTCCCGCATGCAAAACTGTGTGTATGAAGGATTTTTGTCAGACTGCATACGCTATGACTTATATTGTTGCCTTCGTTGCAAGCTCGTGCAAATAATGCAACTTACAGTACATTATAGGCTTTTACAGCAATGCTATCACAGCGCATCCAAAGCAACCAGAACCTCATCAAGGGCAATCGCCCAATGAACCCAATGGGCCCCACCCTGAAGCATAGGAACAAACAGACATGGCCAATATTTTGGAGGGGGTAAGATAAGGAGAAGGAAAGAGGGAAGGATGGGTTAGTACCAACGAGCAGGGAGAGGTAGCGCAGAGGGGGACCGTTTGGGAGGGCAGAGGGGGAGGACGTGAGGCTAACAAGACGTGGGGGTGGTAGAGCACATGCTGGTAACCTGGGACCAGACAAATGGACAGCAATCAGGGGGGGGGCCCGAGGGACAATGCAGGGATGCTGAGGCTAAGGAGACTCGGAGATATGCAATGCGAACAGTAGGTGGATGAACGTTTTTGAGAAGAAATGCAATGCGAACAGTAGGTGGATGAACGTTTTTTAGAATTCTAAAAAGAACATTTTGAGACTTCTCAAAAAACGATCAGTACGTGGATGAACTTTTCCGAACAAACAGCGTGAGGGAAGTGATTTGGGCCAGCGGCTGAAGTCAGGAAAATCAAAGAGTGGTTGCAGGGGGTTGAGCCGCCACATCAGAGCTGACTGAGTGCGCGCTGATACGAACAGGAAAGATGAACAAATCACTCGACAGCACCGAGAACAACGGGGCCATACAGACCTGGTTGGAGACTGCAGAAAGAGGGGGGGAGGGGGCCGACAGAGGAGAGCTGGTCGCATGCTTGTACCTACCTGGGGTACCTGCTCGTTTCTGCTCATACCCAACAAACACTTCGACACACAGACACACACACACACACACAACACACACACACACACACACACACACACACACACACACACACACACACACACACACACAGACACACACACAGACACACACACAGACACACACACAGACACACACACAGACACACACACACACACACACACACAGACACACACACACACACACACACTCACACACACACACACACACACACAGACACACACACACACACACACGCACACACACACACACACACACACAGACACACACACACACACACACACACACACATACACACACACACACACACACACACACAGACACACACACACACATACACGCACACAGACACACACACATACACACAACTCCCATACCTGGCAGAATACTGCAAAGGGCGGACGGAGGGGCCCGTCACATGAGAGCTCGATGGTGCTGCCGTCTATGAAGGTGCCGTCTGCAAACACCACCTGGTGAGCGGTTCAGAGGGGTGATGGGGGGTGTGGGAGGGGTGAGGGAGGGTTATGTACAAGGTTGGGCGGAGGGGGGGGGCGTCACATGAGAGCTCAATGGTGCTGCCATCAGAGGGGTGACGAGAGGTGCAGGGGTTGAGAGTGGTGTGGGAGGGGTGATGAGAGGTTTGGAAGGGGTGACAAGGATTGTGCACAAGGGCGGGCGGAGGGGGCCATCACAGGAGAGCATGATGGTACTGCCGTCTGCAAACATCACCTGGTGAGCGGTTCAGAGGGGTGATGAGTGGTGCGGGAGGGGTGGTAAGGTGTGTGGGAGGGTGTGGGAGGAGTGATAAGTGGTCTGGTAGGGTTGAGGAGGAGTGCCTATAAAACCAAGGAGCACATAGATATAGTGCACATAGATGTGGTGTAGACAAGCATACTGTATACACACATTTACTGTATATCAACGCAGTGTACTCACCTCAGACTCGTAACCTGCTGTCACTCCTGCTGTTGGCTTGATGTAAGCTCCAACGGGGCACCGCCGCTGCACGGCTTGGCAGAAGGCAAGGAGGCGAGCTGGCGAGGAGAGAATGACAGCCTGGAGGAGAGCAAGAGGAATGAGGGAGAGGACGAAAAATCTTTAAGAGATATTTGGTTTCCCAAGTCTTGCTTTCAAGCACGCTGCATGGCCTGGCAGAAGGCAAGGAGACGAGCTGGCGAGGAGAGAATGACAGCCTGGAGGAGAGCAAGAGGAACGAGGGAGAGGACGAAAAATCTTTAAGAGATATTTGGTTTCCCAAGTCTTGCTTTCAAGCACGCTGCATGGCCTGGCAGAAGGCAAGGAGACGAGCTGGCGAGGAGAGAATGACAGCCTGGAGGAGAGCAAGAGGAATGAGGGAGAGGACGAAAAATCTTTAAGAGATATTTGGTTTCCCAAGTCTTGCTTTCAAGCACGCTGCATGGCCTGGCAGAAGGCAAGGAGACGAGCTGGTGAGGAGAGAATGACAGCCTGGAGGAGAGCAAGAGGAATGAGGGAGAGGACGAAAAATCTTTAAGAGATATTTGGTTTCACACGACTTGCTTTCACGCATGCTGAATGGATTGGCAGAAGGCAAGGAGGCGAGTGGGTGAGAAGAGAATGACAGCCTGGAAAAGAGCAGCAGAGGGATGGGGAGGAAACGGGAAAGTGGAAGGCAAGACGGGTTGACAGGAGGGGGGGAGCGGGCAAGGCAGAACGCGGTCGATTGGTCGCTTCTTTAATCTGTGGTGGACAATAGTGGACTCCTCATTTCTCCTTTTTGTTTGTTTGTTTGTTTTTTTTTCCCCCTCTGTTTTTCCGTTTGTCTTGTTTGGATTGTACAAGAAGAGTTGGTCTGTTCTTACACCACGCCATACATGGATGATGTCTTTCCGCCACACACTGAGGCGCCTCGAAAATCGCGATTTGAGGCGCCTCGAAAAAAGACCAACCTGTGAGTCCCCACATCATCACACCTGGATGATGTCTTTCCACCATGCCCGAGGCTGAGGGTGACTTTTGAGGCGGTTCAAAAACAGCTGTTTGTCCTCATACCACACTACACCACACCTCACCGCACCTGGATGATGTCTTTCCGCCGTGCCCGGGGCCGGGGATGAACAGCAAACCCTTCATTCGCCATCACCTCTGCCACGAGTAGACTGCCCTGTGGAGGGGCGCGAGGAAAGGGAGAGAGAGGGAGAAAAGACTTGGCTTGCTGTTGGTGCAGCCGTTGGTGCAGCCGTTGAAACATGAACCACTCTGAGACCTCTCAAAACTCGTTGGTGCAGCCCCTAGAACATGAACCACCTTTCTTTACTCTCAGATCATCCCCCCTTCCCCCTTCTCTCTATAGATTCAGGCACCCACCCACTTGTCCTCCTCCACTCACCCTGATACCCTCGCCTGTCATCTGTGGTCCCAGGGACAGCCTCTGAAACATCAGCCGCACCACTTTCCCACTTGTCTTCAACCACCTTTCCCCCCCGATCCCTCCACCCATTCCCCCTTGTCCTCCTCCACTCACCTTGATGGCCTCGCCTGTCATCTGTGGTCCCAGGGACAGCCTCTGAAACATCAGCCGCACCACTTTCCCACTTGTCTTCAACCACCTTTCCCCCCCGATCCCTCCACCCATTCCCCCTTGTCCTCCTCCACTCACCTTGATGGCCTCGCCTGTCATCTGTGGTCCCAGGGACAGCCTCTGAAACATCAGCCGCACCACTTTCCCACTTGTCTTCAACCACCTTTCCCCCCCGATCCCTCCACCCATTCCCCCTTGTCCTCCTCCACTCACCTTGATGGCCTCGCCTGTCATCTGTGGTCCCAGGGACAGCCTCTGAAACGCCGAACCACTTTCCCACTTGTCTTCAACCACCTTTCCCCCCCAACCCCTCCACCCATTCCCCCTTGTCCTCCTCCCCTCACCTTGATGGCCTCGCCTGTCATCTGTGGGCCCAGGAACAGCCCTTGGAACATCAGCCGCATCACCTCGCCACTTGTTGCTCCTGCGCCCGAGCCTATGCAGGGGGGTGTTGAACAACGAGGAGGGACGAAGAACTATGCAGGCAGCACTTGGGATTCACTCAAACCAGAATTTTGAGGCGCCTCAAAAGTCGAGCCTATGCAGGGGGTTGTTGAACAACGAGGAGGGACGAAGAACTATGCAGGCGGCACTTGGGATTCACTCAAACCAGAATTTTGAGGCGCCTCAAAAGTCGAGCCTATGCAGGGGGTTGTTGAACAACGAGGATGGACGAAGAACTATGCAGGCGGCACTTGGGATTCACTCAAACCAGAATTTTGAGGCGCCTCAAAAGTCGAGCCTATGCAGGGGGGTGTTGAACAACGAGGAGGGACGAAAAACTATGCAGGTGGCACTTGGGATTCACTCAAACCAGACTTTTGAGGCGCCTCAAAAGTCGAGCCTATGCAGGGGGTTGTTGAACAACGAGGAGGGACGAAACATTATGCAGGTGGCACTTGGGATTCACTCAAACCACCACATGCATATTCATGTAAAAATGTCACACATGCGCATTTGACATTCATTACATGCAAGCATAGATTTCAACAAAAAGACAAAACGTACATATATATGCAGGTGTGTACACATACTGATGCCCGGAGCGGCTAGTCTAGCAGCAGCAGCCTCCACCAGGTCCGCCCTCCCCGCCACGTACCCCCCACTGTGGGAAATCGTCCCTCTTAGGTTCTTCATAAGACTCCCCACTAAGAGGTCTATGTGTATACGTACTGATGCCAGGAGCAGCCAGCCTGGCAGCAGCAGCCTCCACCAGGTCCGCCCTCCCCGCCACGTACCCCCCGCTGGGGGCTATCGTCCCTCCAGGATTCTTTATAAGACTCCCCGCTATAAGGTCTGCGCCCTGGCAAATGTAGGAGAGAGGAAGGACAACAAGGAGAGGGCGAAAACTGAGGGTCTAAGGCGATGAGATGGAGAGTGGGAGGAGTGGGAGGAGAGGGTGGGGGAATGAAGATATGAGGAAGGGGGGTCGCACTATGAGGAAGATATGAAGTACTGATCTTAAGCTTACGCTTTGTTCAACCTGGCTCTCTAAAACACGTTCTAGCACAAGTTAACCGGGCTTCACACTTTCTTTTACATGGAGTTTGTCTCGCCGTCCTAGAACCACCTGAGTTGATGGAAGTAAGACCTCCGCAGCCCACCTGTTTACTGATAACAGCATGAAGATGTGAGGAAGGGGGGTCGAACACATGCCATGTATGTGCCATGTATGTGCCATGTATGTGCCATGTATGTGCCATGTATGTGCCATGTATGTGCCACGTATGTGCCATGTATGTATCACGCTTCCATGCATTGCCCCTCCATCCCCTCCGTCTGCTCACCACATGTGTTGGCTCTCTCTCCTCCACGAACTCTAGCCGCTGACGTGATAAAAGTGATGTTTTGAGACGTCTCAAAACGTCTGCTCACCACATGTGTTGGCTCTCTCTCCTCCACGAACTCTCCGTAGCAGTTGTCCACCACAACAACGCATGATGGGTTCTGGGCCTGCATGGTGAACAGATGCCATATGCCATGTGTCATGTGTCGTATGCCATATGCCATGTGTCATGTGTCGTATGCCATGTGCCATCACGCCACCATGCCATCATCCAGAAAAATAAGGTTCAGTTAAGCAACAAGAGTGCGAAATTGGAACCCTTCAATTTCCACCCTTCCACCCTTCCAATCCCACCCTTCAGCCATTCAGTCCCCAACCTTCAGCCCTTCTTCCTTTCCACCCTTCCACCCTTCCATCCCCAACCTTCACCCACCCTTGACGTCGTTTTTGAGGCGCCTAGTTTTGAGGTCTAGTTTTGAGGCGCCTCAAAAACGACCTCTTTCCACCCTTCCATCCCCGCTCTTCACCCACCCTTTTTCCAAGCCCAACCCTTTCCATCTTAGAGTTGAAAAAAAAAACCTATGTATTTATTTTTTTTCTTTCCATTCCATCAAAGGCTCTCTTTTACCTCAACAACGTCCACACTCCCCTGGCCGAAAATCTCACCTTCACTAGTTCCACAATTCGCCCAATCTGCTCCACTGTAAGTGTTTCTCTTAGCGAGTATCCACACGAGCGCTGTACCAGCACACAGCGTGTTCGCTCTGCTACTGCCCCTGGTGTGCAGAGGGCTTCCCAGTCCAGCCCGCCCTGTGATGTCAACTGTGGGCGGATGGAGACAAGGTGAGGGGAAAGCAAGCATCAGCATGAGAGTATCCACACGAGCGCTGCACCAACACACAGCGTGTTCGCTCGGTTACTGCCCCTGGTGTGCTGAGAGCTTCCCAGTCCAGCCCGCCCTGTGGTGTCAACTGTGGGTAGAAAGACAGAGACAAAACAAAGTGAGGGGCACGTGAGGGGACTAAGACAGGTTGAAGGGGGCGAAGAGGGAGGAGGCAAAAAAACTCCCATGTAAGCCCCTGGTGCCCTATGAGCATTCGAGTCCTAATTGCCCTGTTAGTTACCATGCACGCCCTACCGCGTTTGACCAGCACATTGCACCTCAATCTGTTGGTACGGCACCCCAAAACTCCCTCCTGCGCATTAGTGCATGCACATGTGTGTGTGTGTGTGTGTGTGTGTGTGTGTGTGCACGTGAGCATATGTGTGTGTGTCTGTCCACCACATCGCACCTCAGTCTGCCGGTACGACACCCCAAAATCAACCAACGATTCATGCCTTGCACACAAGTGTATGTACGTGTGCGTGTGTCTGTGTGTGCACGCACCTCAATCTGCCGGTATGACACGCCAAACTCCCTCAACGACCCGTGCCCCGGCGTGCCTCTGAGCCCAATCACCTCCTCCATTGTGTCATACGGCGCCCCTGCCACTGACAGCAGCTGAGGGGAGATGAGAGGTGGGGGGTTAGAAGAGGGTTGAGGGGGCAACAAAATGGGGAGCAGGAATGAGGGGTGTGCGTGCCTCTGAGCCCAGTCACCTCCTCCATTGTGTCATATGGCGCTCCTGCCACGGACAGAAGCTGAGGGGAGGAGACGAGAGGTGGGGTGAGAGGAGAGGGGGGGAGGCGCTGATGAAAGGGATCAAGTGGTGTGGCGAGGTGATAAAAGAGTAGTTTTGAGACGTCTCAAAACTACTCTTTTATCACGGGGAGAGGGGGGGGAGGCGCTGATGATAGGGATCAAGTGGTGTGGCGAGCAAGAGCAGGAGGAGCGAGCGGGAGTGAGTGGGAGAGAGTGTGAGTGGGAGAGAGTGTGAGTAGGAGAGTGTGAGTAGGAGAGTGTGAGTAGGAGAGTGTGATTAGGAGAGTGTGAGTAGGAGAGAGTGTGCAGGGAGAAGGCGTTGCGAGGGGAAGAGACATTCCATAGTTCCAAGTCAAGGCCGCTTCTGAGTCAACTCAAAGGGAGTGAGTAGGAGAGAGTGTGAGTAGGAGAGAGTGTGAGTAGGAGAGAGCGTGAGTAGGAGAGAGTGTGCAGGGCGAAGGGTTGCGAGAGGGGGAAGCAACCCTCAGTTCATAATAAAGGTAAAAAAATGCCACCGCACTAGATGCCGGAGAAAGCCACTCACCTCGTTCCCAGGGCGCAGAACGGCATAGAGAGCAGCAGCGATTGCATGTGTGCCTGAGAAGAACTGTGCGCGCACACATGCTGCCTCAGCGCCAACGATCTGAGCAAAGGCCGAATCCAGCGCCTCTCTGCCTCCTGCGTCCCCGTGGCCGTACCCTGTGGTGCCACTGAAATGCTGATGGGGGGGAGAATGGGGAGGGGGGAGATGGGAGAAGGGAAGGCTGGATGGGGGAGGGATTTACGTTCCAGCGTCTCTCTGCCTCCTGCGTCCCCATGACCGTACCCTGTGGTGCCACTGAAGTGCTGATGTGTGGGGGAGGGCACGAGAAAAGAAGAAGCGTGAAACGAAGGGAGAATGGAAGCCAGGAACGAGAAGGACTCGAAGTCAAGCGCCTCTCTGCCTCCTGCATCCCCGTGACCGTCTATACCCTGTAGGGGAGCAGGGGAGCAGGGGAGGAGGAGGAAGAGGGTAGAAGTGGAGAAGTGGCATTTCAGGTTCACCGCTAGAGGCACGGGGACACAGGAGGCAGAGTGGAGAAGTGGCATCAGGGAAAAGGAAGGAGAGGGCATTAGGCAGAAGAGAAGGCATCGAGAAGCCTCTTCAGATTCAACGCCCCTCCCCTGATGCCGTACATCAGGGAAAAGGCAAGAACTCCTTTCTACCTACCACACCCACACATGCCCACGGAGACACACTGATGCGTACTCACATGCCTCCCCACACGTGCAGAGGAGAAGGCATCGAGAACCCGCTTCAGGTTCACCGCTACCAGCCGACATAGCTCTCACCACGCACACACCAACACACACCCAGGCACACCCACCCACACACGCCCACTCACACACACCCTTCCCCCCCCACACACAAACTCACGTGTCGCCCCACACGTGCAGAGGCGAAGGCATCGAGAACGCGCTTCAAGTTCACCGCCACCAGCCTATCCACCTCCGCGAATTCGCCCTCCAACGATGCTGCTGCTGCTGCCACCTGGGGGAGGAGAAAGGGCGATGAGGATTCGATGAGTGGTAGCTGGCAGTAGGAGTGGAAAAAGCTGGCATTGAATGCCTGTCTGCTCCATCCCAGGCTCACCGCCACCAGCCTGTCCACCTCCATCCCAGGAGGCGCATTTACAGTCCGGCACAGCACTCACATGGGAAGAGAATGGCAATGCGGCGCCATGTGCTTTGTTGGTAATTCTCGATTCGACTCAAACAACTAGGAGGGTACAGTAACAGTCCGGCACAACACTCGCCTGAGGAGAGAAAGGCGATGCGGGGACGTAAGCCGTGACTGCTTTGCTGGAGCCGGCGTCGCGCAACTTTGCTGGATTCGTCCCACTAAGATCACCTCCGTTAGGATCACCTCCTGCCTCGCCGGTTCTAAGTCTCTCTTTTTCTCGTGCGATCGTCTCTGTCGCCGGTCGCTCGCTTCCTAAGGCGCGTGGCAGGATAGTATGGAACTCGAAGAAGATCCGCGATACGCGCTTCTTGGAAATTTGAATTTGACGAGCATTTCGCTTGGCGCCGAAGAACCCAAATCCTGAAGCCGCGGCTGACGTGGCGACAGTGCCACTAAGCGTATGTGCGATCGACATGTGGACAAATGAAGGCGACACGGGTATGCGGAAGCAGAAGAAGCAAAGCCCCGTGGGAGTCAGCTTGATCTATTTTGACAGCAAGCTAGCTGTGGAAAATGCTACCCCGCAGATCGCTGCAATAACCCCGCTGCGAACTCAGCGAAAACTTCAGTACCGTTTGTTACCATTGTGTATTGCGGTGATGATGATTCCTAAACGACTCATGAGCAAATCGGGTCCTGTGAAGCGCGGGAAATCTGACACATGACCGTTGTGTCCTGTATACTTACGACACAAGTCGAAATGCTATATAATATAATTACATCAGACTAACATGCTTACAATAATAGAAGTCCAGGCCATTCACACACAACATATAAAATACAAACCAAGGTTTTGCCTTATGTGAGACAATTAAAAAAAGCAACAAAACAAGACAAAAGACACACAGCCTTACTGAAACCAGCAGAGCCAGCCATAGGAACCAGCAGTTCCAGCTTGCCTGACCCATACTCACCGAAAGTCTGCAGTGGAGAATGCCATAGCAAGCAATTCTGCTTCTGATACCATTGGCATCGCCGTCCCACTTTCATATCACAAGTTCATCAGCTGCTTGGCCAGAGGAACCAGCAGTTCCAGCCTCGCACAGACTATCCTCACCAAGAGCAGCTTCAGTTCCAGCTTTCAACCCAGTCAGGATTGAATCAGCAGCAGTCTCAATCGCGGTCGCAGTGTCAGGAGCATTAGCTACTGCAGCAGCACCATCAGCAGCATCAGCAGCCACAGCAGAACCACCAGCAGCGGCAGCAGCAGGCACGAGCCCCGATGATGAAAGCTCATTTGTAGCATCACCAATGCCTGTAGCAGCAACGCCTGTAGCACCAGTGCCTGTAGCAGAGACTACAGCTGCAGCATCCATAGCACCATTGGCAGCAGATGTCACTGCTGTAGTAACAGCCACAGGAGACAAAATCGACTGAAGTTGTTCCTGTTGCTGCTGCTTCTGCTGCTGTTCCTGCTGCTCCACCTGTGTCAGAGCCTCTGCCTGCAAAAGTGGCTTCAGCTCTTGCTGAGAGTTCCCAGCCACACTCCCCACACTGGGAATAACAAGATGGTGTTGCTGACCTGCTTTCTGCTGCTCTTGCTGCTGCTGCTGCTGCTGCTGCTGCTGCTGCTGCTGCAGGTGCTGCTGCTGCTCCTGCTGCTGCGGCTGCTGCTGCTGCTTCTGCTTGCTTCCTGTTGTCCCTAGCACAGAGGCAAGGTAAGTGCTTGGAATCTCGACACTCACTTGGGGTGGAGTAAGAGAGGTACTCTGAACCTGGACAGGCCCCCGAGAGGACGATCTTTTGGGGATTTGCAGCAAAGGGGATGAGGAGAAGTTGGGGATAGGGACGGAAATGACAACAGGAGAGGACGAGGTGTTGGGTTGAGGGGCGGCTGGGAGGGTATGTGCTGCTGCTCCTTCTCCTGTTGCTCCTTCTCCTGCTGCTCCTGCACCTGCTGCTGCTGCTGCTCCCCCTCCTGCTCCTGCTAGTCCTGCAACTCCTCCTCCTCCTCCTGCTACCCCTTTTGCTGCTTCTATTGCTGCTGCCACACCTGCAGCAGCTTCCGTAGAGGTGGCAGCAGCAGCCGAGCTTAAAACCGACTGGACAAAGGTCAACGGGGAGAAGTGCGATACAGGAGAAAGTGGATGGGGATTGGCTGCCGAACCTCCCCTTCCAGACCTCCCCACAGGCTGCCCTGGTGAAGCCCCGAAGCTCCCAGCCGAAGCTCCAGAGCTCCCTACCGAGCCTAACCTCGGGACTAGTAAGGCCGAGCCTAGCCTGGGGACTAGTAAAGGCGAACCTGTTTTAGCGACTAAGGAAGGAGAGGTAGCAGCTGAAATAGGTAGACTGCCTGATGTGGCAGCAGCTGCTGCTGCAGCGGCTGATGCTGACACGGGGGGGATGGAGAGTGGGGTGGCGAGGGAGGGGGTTGGGGCGGCAGCGCGTTGGGGAGTGGAGGGAGCTACTGTACCGAGTAGCAAACCCCCTGATGCAGTCGGCAGGGCGGAATCAGAGGGATAGGCGGCATTGGCGCCAGCACCAACGGCAGCACCAGCCACAGCAGTACCAGCAGCAGCAGTTGTAGCCGAGATGGTGGCACCCCCAATAGCAGCAGCGGCGCCAGCAGGAGCAACTCCAGCTGCAGCAGGATAGAAACCAGCAGGGGTAGTGGCAGCTGCAGCAGCACCAGTTGAAGCCACTGGCACAGCAGAAGCCGCAGGAGCAACAGCAGGAGCGGCAGCAGCGGGAGCAGTAGCAGCAGCAATAGACGCTGTTGTCGCCCCCGCCACACCAGTAGGCATGGACCCAGAGCAACCAGGCAGGGGCTGGGACGGGTTGGGGTCTATACCCGCGTTATAGAGCACCCCTTTAAAGATGTGCCCACCGATCTTGACACAGGCGTGGTAGCCGAACTCAAAGTGCCCGTCCACGATTCCCGTCACCCGCACGCTCCTTAGGAGGGTCTGCGCCACCACCTCTGCTGGGAGTGCTGGTGTGGGGCAGAAGAATTGGGAGGGGTGAGGCGGGTTTAAGTAAGATTGTGTGCCAAGGCAGTTCTTTTGAAGGGGTTAAGAGCAACGACAATGTATACATTAATAAGCCCCAACTAAACAACCAACTCACCTTGAGTCTGCTGCGCAGGTGTTTCTGGAAGAGCCAGCAACGATGGCTGCTGCAGTGGCTGCTGTGCCACCTGCTGTTGCTGCTGCAGTGGTGGCTGCTGCAAAGATGGCTGCACCACCTGCTGCTGTTGTTGCTGCTGCTGCTGCTGCTGCTGCTGCTGCTGCTGCTGCTGCTGCTGCTGCTGCTGCTGCTGCTGCTGCTGCTGCTGCTGCTGCTGCTGCTGCTGCTGCTGCTGCTGCTGCTGCTGCTGCTGCTGCTGCTGCTGCTGTTGCTGCTGCTGCTGCTGGTGTTGCACGGGAGCCTGAGTTGGTTGCACCCCCACCTGCTGCTGGTACTGAGACGGAACCAGCAGCAATTGCTGTGACTGGGCTTGAGATTGCCCTTGACCTTGCACTTGAGCTTGCATACCCGTCTGGGCACCTAGCAGCGCCACCGGTCCTCCTGTTTGCGGCTGCTGCTGTTGCTGCGGCGGCGGCGGCTGGACGGGCCCATGACTGGGCATCTGAATCGACACCTGGCCAGGCACCTGAGCCGGCACCTGCGCCTGGGGGATCGGAACCGCTACAGACGCCACTGGGCCTCGCGCAGGCGACCGAGCTATGACAGGTGTCGACATCCCACTGGCTGATAAAAAGCTCGAGTTTCCCAACGCCCCGAGAGCAGCACCAGGCGCCACCGCAGCAGGCCCCATCGCAGCAGCAGCAGCAGCACCAGCAGCAGCACCAGCAGCACCAGCAGCAGTAGCTGCAGCAGTGGCGGTAGTGGAATACGGCACAGGCATGGTAATGGGTCCAGTCACGGGCGACTGCGACTCGCTGCCTCGCGCGCGCTTCGTCCGCGGCGGCACGGGCCGCATAGTCGCCGCCATTGCGCGCGCGGCGGACTCCATCTGCTCGCGCTTTCTCCGCTCCGCCGCGGGGACCCACGTGCTGCGCACGTGCGTCGCGCAGCTGTATCCGCGCGCCTTGCAGCACGTGCGGCAGCGGCGGTACGGGCAGTCGCGCTTGGAAGCGTTTCCGCACTCCATGCACGAATTGCCCTCGCGGAAAATGGCCGGACCGAGGGGCTGAATGACTGGGAGTGTCACTACTTGCTGCTGCTGACCCGGCTGCTGATGCTGCTGTTGCTGCTGCGAGTGCTGCGGTTGTTGCTGGTGCTGCGGCTGAGTGCCCATTGGCAACGGGACTATAACGGGAGTGAGCGGCTGTTGGAGTGGCTGTAGCTGCTGTGGCTGTAGCGGCGGCTGCTGTTGCAACATCTCCAGCTTCGGTTGAGAGAGTTGCTGCTGATTTGGCTGCGGCGATTGAGTCGGGCCGCCAGGGGGAGCTGGAGGAGGAAGAGGGGAGATAGGTGCGCCATCCGCTGCAGTCGCCATTGCTGGTTACCCCAACACTCACGAAACCGCCGGTCGCAAACCGACACTCACAATTTCAATATGTTTATTTAAAGCAGAGAAGAATCCGCTTGCTGTAACATTGGCCTTTTCTTGCAAAACTGCGGTGCAAAACGGAAGCCTTTACTTCTAATGATCGGCGATTAGTATTGTCCGGAAAACATGACTGGCATATGAACAATCGACCGAGTAGAGTTGCATATCCAGAACGTCGTTGGAACCTGAAAAACGGGAAAGAGAACATCACAACGAACAGATATGAACGAAAGGGAAAAAATGAGAGCGTTGCACACCGCATGGCTTTTGAGTCGACTAAAAAAGTCACTATGGGGAAGTCGAATCCAGATTCCTAACGACGTTTGACAAGTCGCGCAGCCAGAGTCAGCACGGCACGCCGATTCGCGACGACGAGAAGAGGCACAATGTGATAGATTCTCTCATCAAAGGTGCGTTTTGAGTAAATTCTTCAAATATTTCACGGCACTTCCGGAAGCACGAAGATAAGGAAAAAGAAGGGCTGCGACCGAATTATGACAAAAAGCGATAACCATGGGAACCCGCGTAACGGGAAAGATTATAAAAGCGGGCGAAGCGGATTCGGCTGGAAAGTATTTTCATGCCGAGGAAGATAAAGATGACGATGAGGATCGGAAACGACGATGAATGGAATGTCAAATATTATAATAACCCTGGAGATTATCCAGAGAGAAGTTGACACAAACTTACGTCACAAACGTACGTGCTGTGGGGATTTGAGTAGCGGAAGGGAAGGGAGCGAACATGGAACTCCTAGGTCAATCTAGCCTAGAAAGCTACGACTAGCTTCTAGAATGAGGTGGTAGGGAAACCCTAGTCCTAGATGACCTGCACGGCTAGCGCTCTACGCCCTGGGATTGGCTGTCGGGAATTTCAGGAGGATAGGCTAGGTCAGGCTAGGCTGGGCAGAATCTTCAAGA